AAAATCTTAAGCATAAAATATAGACCATTTTGTTACAGCCACAGCAAAAGGATAAATTAATTGCATTATTATTAATTATATTATTTGAATCTGTTTACTTGCAGCTTCTTTCTGGTTTAAGCTAAAACCTTTATAGAACATTCTCCTATAGCCAAAAGAACCTATGGAAACAATCAGGAAAGGCATGAAGCAGGTATTTAAAACAGATTTGTGAAAACATAAGCCAACACAGTAAGGATGCTTTATAATAGTTGGATTTCACAATATATACAGTAGTATGTATCAGGAGCTTAAGCTGAATTTTACTCTTACATTAGCCATGCTTCTTACTGGACAGGTCTGCTGTCATTATTATTTCACACTTAATAATACCATTTGCATTCCTTAATGGAAATGCCACTCACTGATGGTTCCTATTCGACATATCACCAACATTGTCAAACAGACACATCATTTTAAGTGGCTTATGCAAACTTGTGGAATAGCCTTTGTGAATAGAACAACCTCAACAGAAGTTCAGAATCAGGCAGCGTGTTTTCTGTCTGTGTTAGCCAAGCACAGAACGGTGAGATATGATGGAGCAGCATCTCTATACTGAGCTCCTCATCAGTATATCTTAAAAATATGTTGTCTAAATCAGATATGGAAAAACTTATCCATGCATTTGTCACTAGTAGATTAGACTACTGCAATGGCCTGCTCACAGGTCTGTCCAAACAGGCTGTAAAACAGCTGCAGTACATTCAAAATGCAGCAGCTCGAGTCCTGACTAGAACCAGGAAATACGACCACATTAGTCCGGTCCTCAGGTCTCTGCACTGGCTTCCTGTGGCTCAGAGAATTGATTTTAAAGCAGCTCTGCTTGTGTACAAGTCTCTCCATGGCCTCGCACCGAAGTACATTGGTGACATGTTGGTGCCGTATGAGCCAACTCGGACTCTGAGGAGCACAGGGACTGGACTCCTGATGGTGCCCAGAGTCCGGACTAGGCATGGAGAGGCTGCATTTCAGGTGTATGCCCCAAAAATCTGGAACAGCCTTCCTGAGGATGTACGGGAGGCCTCATCTTTAGCATTATTTAAGTCTAAGCTGAAAACCGTTCTTTTTAGCTGTGTATATGACTGACTTTTATATATTGAGCTTTTTATACCGTTTTTAATTCTGAAATTCAGTTTGAAATGTTTATTTTTATGCAACAATTATTATTGTTTTTGTTATTATTTTATATTACGTTTTATGTGTTTTAAAATGTTTGTAAATGTGTATGATCTTGTGTTCTTGTGAAGCACTTTGGGCTGCACTGCATGAATTGTGCTTTATAAATAAACTTGATTGATTGATTGATATTAAAAGGTTCCATATTCGCTTTTTGACTTTTCTTTGCTTTAACCATGATTACAGTGCTATTTGGCCTTGATACATTCATTCACATGCCCAGAGTAGTTTTTTCATTGATGCCCTAAAGCTTTAGTTAGAGAGCGATCTTCCTCTTTCATTCTCGAGAGGCAGCAAGTTGTTTAACTTGATTCAATTCGTGACGTGGCACCAAATTGTGACGTGAGAAGCCCGCCTCCAGGAGGTGATTGACAGGGGGAGAAACTGAAACAGCAAATCAGCACATGCAGCCTCTCCCAGAGTCCAGTGTATGGTCCATCGACTGTAAATATTAGTGGTCCCACGTCTACCACCCATAAACTGTGCTGTTTTGTGTTAGCATCATGTCAACTGGGGGAAAATATGTTTTTGGATATAAATATGTGACAACACTATTTGCCCCGAAGGCGAAGAATGAGGCAACTTTATTTTGTGATCTGCTTCTGAAATCTGCAACAAATATGTCTTACTGCAAGTAAAACGTCACCAAAGACTGTTCCCAGAATTGTCTCTGAACTCCAACCGTTAATTTGAAACTGGACTTACTAAAGATCTGATCTTGAAACTTGGTGTTATTCTCACAATAAAAGACGCTAACGAGGTGTATACTACTGTTAACTAAATCATTAGATTCCAATTCGAGATAGAGGACATAGGGCTATATGTGACGGTTTGCCATTTTTGGAAAAATGTTTATTCTTAGGTCTGAAATTAATATGTACTGGCGAAAAACAGTTTGCTTTAACGCGGCTTTTTTTACCTCCGAGTCAGCGTGAGGCTACGTCACCGTGCGGTGGAGGGAAGCTCACAGGGGAAGGAGCAGAGATCCAAGCGTTTCACAGGAGACATCACCTCTCTTCGATAAATACCTATAATTTCATAAGTTTTGAGTGTTATGGTGTGTCACCCAAATTATTATCACACTTAGGAAAAATGAATAAAAGCGAAATATGGGACCTTTAATGTTCAGCTAACATTGCAGACCTTTTACTTCTCACAATGGAAAAATAGAGGACAGTAAAAGCTCATATTGACACCAGGTCAGAGCCGGTGATGATGTTCTGCTGATCATAACCAGTGAGAAAATGGAAAGTGGCCGGGGCCTCAGTATAAATGGATTTCAGTGACAGAAAGCAGAGGTGAGTAGAGTCCCAAAATAACCAGGCCAAGTCAAACCCAGCTGCTCAAAGTTTTACTCACATGCCTTCTCTACATTAGACAGACCCGCTTGTATAAATACAAAAGTTTGACTTTTACTTTTCATAATGGGGGAGTTTGGACTGGGTGATATAGGAAGTAAACATGTACATAGATCATTCTCCTTTAAATCATATTTTCATTCCTGATTAATTAATTAAAAAACAGCAATATTCATTTAATTCAGCTCCAAACATCATCTTTTCCTTAAGAGACTGTAGGAAAAATGCACCAAATGATCTTCCAGCTACAGTATATATGAAAATCTAGGAAAGAGATTTGCAAAATTGTCCTTGGGTGGTGGTAGAAAATAAAACTGGTAGAAGTATTAACATATGACCAAAAACAATTCATAGACACAATTTTCTCAAGGAAATAAAAATTTATATTATTATATCTGAAAAAAGTATTCTTCAGAAATGTGAAGCTGACACATTATGGAGCGCTGAAATTTTCTCAGAGATATAGAAGATTACAAAAAATTAAATAAATACAAGAAAAAGATGAGAGAAAATGTCAGGAAACATTCAAGTATCAATTGTGCTACTTTATCAACTAAAAGGCTATCAGATTTGTGTGTAATCTCTTTGCTTCATAGGACATTAGGCCCAACTACTTTCTGCTCCCTGTGTGAACCGGTCAATTACATTTCTCCTTTGCTTTCATCTTTGAGCACTTACGCATTTGTTCTTGGGTAAAAATGAAAGTCAGATATCAGGTCCCTTCCGGGTTTCTCCATCCCATCACGGCAGGAACCCTGGCCCTTTCAGTATTCAAGGCGAGGCTGTAAATCTCACCAAAGCTCTTTGCATTACGGCCGTCTATTGTCAAGCTATTTCAGTCTCCTTTATGTTACGATAACTGGCAAAAACAGCTGGCTGAGAGATAAAGCAATAATAGCACCTTCCCGTTGGATAGATTCACACCACAACTTGCTAACTTTAAAATGCTATAAGGATTTGCATTTTGGTCAAAACACTGCTTGATAAAAGCCGAAAAGTGGAACAAAGTTATCGCTTACAATTACCATTTCCTTTTGTTCGCCAGCTCTCATTTCGCACACAAAAAGCTGGACTCAAATGCTTTATATTTGGGTCATTTGCAAACACATTCTCTTCCAAGTTAATAGGTATTAATGAGCTATAATCCATTTGATGTGACAGCCTACTTTCTATTTCCCACTAGAACATGAGCGGGGCCATTCTTCTTTCACTAGGATGAATAAGGCAATCAGTATCAATGATGATTCTTTGTAATGTGGCTGCTTGGATGGGTGGAGAATGGTACACATCTCTGGACCTGTGCGAGTTTGGGCAGGGTCAAGACTTTGAGCAGAGACTTTGAAGTGAACAGGCTGCAATAAATGAGAGAGGATAAGAAGGAGTCACTGTAGCATGACAGATTTCATGAATTAAACAGTGCCCTTATTAACTCCGGTGGGCTGTGATCAGTTCAGTCAGCCCCTATAATCAGTCAAATCAAGGGAAATAGTCAAGTGAACACCTTTGAAAGTCTTCCAGAGAGGAAAAGGCTATGAAATGTTGTCTAATTAATGTGTATTTCTAATCACGACATGGAAGCAACTAGACACATAGTCATTATATTCTTTCTCAATTGTAATTATATTTTTAAGGAGAAATAGCCTCAACAATAAAATGTATACTCTGAGAATAATCATATTCAATCAGTTGTTATGCAGAGTTTGTCCTGGGTTTTTTATGCTCATTTTTGATCTGGTGTTCATTAGGGATGCACAAATATTGTGAAATGAGTTTGATCGGTTACCCAAAATCCTTCGATTGATATAAGAGACCATACTGGGTGATAATAACCCAGAACGTCAATTTTTTTACATACAGTACCCAGCGGAAATACCGAAATATCCCAATTGGACTTGCACATGTTGCTTTAGTGAAATTTTGCTGTGAAAAAAGCAGATATTAAAAGCCAAAGTATTGATCAAACATTAAGCGAGATCGGTACCTATAGTGTTTATAGTGTACCAGATGAACAGTTTGTGTGAAGATGTCAATAGATATTTCAACTAAATAATTAAAAGTGTCCTACAACAAAGCAAGTTGCCTCAGTATCACACATTTTTATACCTGGAAAAATCCGGGTCAACTCGCGAGCCAGAGCTACAACAAAGTTCAATATCAAACTAAGGATGGGAGTTTGATATTGACTCCCAATATCAAACTCCCAATTTGAATGGGAAATATGAATGGGAAATATTTCGATATACATGTATGTAGTTGACCTTTGACACATGTTGTGCTGTCCATGCATTTAAATAGTGCTAAGAGGGACATGAAAATAGCTCCTGAATTTATTATCCATGTGATGATTTTGATAGTGGTGACATTTTGAGTGTCTATACCAGGAGTGCACTGCAGACAAAAATGCAGCCAGATGCATTTCAATTCCAATTAGGTAATGGGATCTGACAGCCGGCGTGAGGCTGCACCGGGATGTGGAGGCAGCAGAGAGGAGCAGAGAGAAGGAGAGAGGAGCTGAGGGGAGCATAGGGGGGCATAGGGGAGCAGAGAGGAGCAGAGAGAAGGAGAGAGGAGCTGAGGGGAGCATAGGGGGGCATAGGGGAGCAGAGAGGAGCAGAGAGAAGGAGAGAGGAGCTGAGGGGAGCATAGGGGGGGCATAGGGGAGCAGAGAGAAGGAGAGAGGAGCTGAGGGGAGCATAGGGGGGCATAGAGGAGCATAGAGGAGCTGAGGCGAGCAGAGAAGAGCAGAGAGGAGCTGAAGGAAACATAGAGGGGCAGAGAGGAGAGAAGAGCAGAGAGGAGCTGAGGAGAGCATAGGGAAGCAGAGAGAAGCGGAGAAGAGCTGAGGAGAGCAGAGAGGAGCAGAGAGAAGCAGAGAGAAGCAGAGAAGAGCTGAGGAGAGCAGAGAGAAGCAGAGAGAAGCAGAGAGGAGCTGAGGAGAGCAGAGAGGAGCAGAGAGAAGCAGAGAGAAGCTGAGGAGAGCAGAGAGGAGCAGAGAGAAGCAGAGAGAAGCTGAGGAGAGCAGAGAGGAGCAGAGAGAAGCAGAGAGAAGCTGAGGAGAGCAGAGAGGAGCAGAGAGAAGCAGAGAGGAGCTGAGGAGAGCAGAGAGAAGCAGAGAGGAGCTGAGGAGAGCAGAGAGGAGCAGAGAGAAGCAGAGAGAAGCTGAGGAGAGCAGAGAGGAGCAGAGAGAAGCAGAGAGAAGCTGAGGAGAGCAGAGAGGAGCAGAGAGAAGCAGAGAGAAGCTGAGGAGAGCAGAGAGGAGCAGAGAGAAGCAGAGAGAAGCTGAGGAGAGCAGAGAGGAGCAGAGAGAAGCAGAGAGGAGCTGAGGAGAGCATAGAGGAGCAGAGAGAAGCAGAGAGGAGCTGAGGAGAGCAGAGAGAAGCAGAGAGGAGCTGAGGAGAACATAGGGGGGCATCTGATGTTTATTCTACTCATATTCATATTTTCATATTCTCCGCTGCTAATGTATAATATACACATTTGTAAATACTTCCGAACCAAGTGCTATTACTGTATAGCCCAGAGTTTATCTCATTTTATTTCATTTTTATCTTTATTTTATTGTCTATTATCTTAAATAATAGACTCAATTTGATGTGTGCAATCTGAGTGCTCTTATTTCCTCTCTCTGCTGTAATGTGCGCAACGATTACACTGACATTTCTCCACTGTAAGACTAATAAAGGTTTATCTTATCTTATCTCTTATCTTATCTTATAGGGGTGCAGGGAGGAGCAGAGCAGAGAGGAGCTGAGGGGAGCAAAGGGGGGCAGAGAGGAGCAGAGAGGGGAGCAGAGAGGAGCGGTGGCCCAGGTCTTCACAAGCTGAATTTTACAGGCTGTCTGAGCTGGACTCCCGGGTGGCGGGTGAGGACTGGCGGTCACACAGCAGCAATCAAAATTTAATTCTGGTGAGTCTGCCCAGTCAAGAGAAATGAAAGATGAGTACATGGACGAAAAGACTGACATGGAAGGGCTATTTGGACATGAGAAGGCAGTTATGAGAAAAAATTACACCTAATTCTGTCCAAAATGATTCTCTCTTCCTTATACAGCCAACTGTCAGGCTCTGTTATACACAGCTGGTCAGGAATCAAAGTATCAAAGGTACACCTAAAGGTCACCAGGAAAGAGAAAACAACTTGTTTAAACAGCAGTACAAGTACTATGTACACAGAACTGTGGTCAAATGAATAATAATTTTACTTTAAAGGTGCAGTAAGTAAGATATTAGTGGATTTCTTCCAGCAAAAACTGCTGTTGACATTTTTTTTGGGTTGCGTATAAAGATGATTATATATTCAGACTAATTATAGGAACATTATAGAGTATGCAAATTAATAAAATCTTAGTTGACACAAGCGTTTTTGGCACACAATTTAAAACTCATCCTCAATGTAATTTTAAGCCATCCAAAAACTGCAATGAAAACATGTAATAATAATATTTAGTACATAAATAATCATAAATAATATAAAAATGCCAGAAGTGTAAATGCAGGCTATAAAAAGACTTCAGTACTATTACGTGAAAAGATAAAAGAGAGCTCCATCTGACATGCCCCTCTCCCAATCTGCCCTGCTCCGAGAGGCACAGACAGAGTGAACTCTGTTAATCTGCCCTTAATTGAACTTATCCAATAGCCACATTCTTGCACATCTGCCATCTCCACATCTTATTCACATAATAACAGAGTTGTGCTCTTGTGTCAAATATTATTTCAGGATTATAGAATGGATTTTATAAGACAATGCAATGCATATAAGACTCAATGTAAGTTTGAGTCATATTCTTTGTATTTATACAGTTTTTTTATATATATATATATATATATATATATATATATATATATATATATATATATATATATATACACCCAATAATGCTGGTCAAAGTAATATAAGCCTATTACTGACATCACTAAATGGAAAAATCACAATCTAGTGATGGAATGATGGAACTGTACCCAATTCACATATCACCAGCCCCTCTCTGATCCTCCAGCAGGTGGTGAGTCCACGGGGGCCTTCGGCAAAGTGGGGTTAAGTGTCTTGCCCAAGGACACAACTACAGCAGACATCAGTGGGAGTCGAGACGTAGGTCTCGACTCCCACTGACCCTCAGGCCCAAAGGCCAATGCTAACTGAGCCACTGTTGCCCCCATTGACTCAATAGAATTAACACTTTTAAATGAAACATTCTTCACTTAAAAATGTCTTTAGACATTATTTGAATAATGTGATGATGGATGGCGGTAGGAGCCCTGTCTAATAAGGAATCAGATTCAGATTAATTTATTCTCCATTTGCAGTAAAACCACATTGGAATACATTAGCAGAAGTTCCCAGTGTGCACAAGCCAAGTACAGACATAAAACAACATTAAAAGTACAGAAATAAAACAAATAAAAAAGTAAACAATTGTTGCTATAAAATCGACCGACTAAAACAGTTTCAAAACAAGTGCAAATCATTAAAGTGCTCTGTTCACACTGATAACAGCTTGTGAAAAATAACTATTAGCATAACGAGATGTCCTGCATCTCAGAGAACGATATCTTCTGCCAGAGAGAAGAAGCTGGAACAAGGCTATTCCAGGGTGGCCAGAAGAGTCATTGATAATTCTAAGAGCTCTGTTTAAAAGTCTGGATTTATATAGAACCTCGGTCCTCTTTGCAGAGCGGAGCACCTTGTTTAAAGCTCTCTTTTCTTTGTCTGTGATGTTTCCAAACCACACAGACACAGAACCAACAAGTAAACTCTAAGGAATGTGAAGCTCTTCAAAAGTTTGAAAAGCCAATTGTGGAAAGATTGGGCCTTTGATGTATATTTGCAGTGTTATATCGTGAAATATCTTGATCTTGACAAATGCAGGTTGAACACATTATGTCGGTCCTAACTAGTACCTCTGTTTGGATCTCGGTGCGGTGTGGTGACAATCCCATTGACAACAGTCAAACACAATAACCTATAATTCATGTTTTCATAAATAATTTTTCATTATTGGTTAATTTTGTGTAATACAAATGTTGTGCTTGGTGAATAGCCAGTTACACACACCTCTGCCCAGAGAATAAAGCACAGCGCCAAGAGAGTACATTAAATGGATTCATTAAATACTTTGAATTTATGCCCAAGGTCAGACTTAATTATGAGCAGAACAAGAGGAATATCAATGCGTTTATTTCATAAGTGAACATAACATATGTAAAGACACTGCCTTCACACTTTAAACTCATTATGTCTGTCTAAAGGTGTTAATTTACTGTATTTTTATAAAGCATTAAATTGTTTTATTTATTTTCCCATATATATATATTTGTTTGATTAACCATATAGACCTAGTATTTACACAAACAAATGTAGCCAAATATTTATCTATTCATAAATCGACTTTCCTCTTCATAAGCCATGGCATTCTGACCTAATAATGCAATCAGATTCAAAGAATTAGTCCAGTTTGTGCAGATTATAGTAGGATTTCCAGGGAGCTGTATATCAACAGATTTATATCATGAGAGAGGAATTATATAGTATTTCACAACTGTCCACCGCACATTCACGTTTAAATCCACTTTTATAGTTTAGTATATTAGCGCTGCTACTCCACGTCGAGAGGAACCAATTGAGGTGGCTCGGGCATCTGTTCCGGATGCCTCCTGGACGCCTCCCTGGGGAGGTGTTCCGGGCACGTCCCACCGGGAGGAGGCCTCGCGGAAGACCTAGGACACGCTGGAGGGACTATGTCTCTCAGCTGGTCTGGGAACGCCTTGGGGTCCCCCCGGACGAGCTGGAGGAAGTGTGTGTGGATAGGGAAGTCTGGGCGTCTCTGCTTAGACTGCTGCCCCCGCGACCCGGCAACGGATAAAGCGGAAGAAAATGGATGGATGGATGGATGGTATATTAGCACATATAGATTGCAAATCTCTGAATAAAGTGGCCATACCTGCATGTGAAAGCCAGATACTATCAGACCTCTGAAGTTAAGAAGGGAAGGACTTAGTTAGTACTGTGATGGGAGACCGCGGCTGCGGCTGTAAAATGACAAACTGTTGTTGTGTCCTTAGGCAAGACACTTCACCCACATTGCCTACAATGCGTCTCGTGTGTGTGAATGGTTGGTGGTGGCTGGAGGAGCCAATGATACATACAGCTAGCCTTGCTTCTGTCAATGTGCCCAAGGGCAGCTGTTGCTACAGTAGTAGTTTATCCCCACCGTGTATAGAGTAAAGCACTTTTAAGAAGTAAGTCATGTTTTTTTAAATACCGCCTTTCACAGACCAGAGTCACAAAGCGGTTTACTAATGTGGGCATTTGGACAGGATTTTGCTTTTTTTCTGTTTTACAGGAGGCGCATGCCAGACCTATTGTACATATTTTTAGTGGTAGGGGAAACCGGAGTGCCCGGTAACCTACGCAGACACGGGGAGAACATGTAAACTCCACTCAGAAAGGCCCTGTTCCAACCAAAGAACCCAGAACCTTCTTGCGGAGAAGTGAGAGTGCTATCCCCAGTGCCGCCCAAAAACGGATGCATTATTATTAAAGCACTATACTCACTCAGACATAAAATCACAGCTCATATACAAGTAGAGTTCAACAATTAAATAATGGAGAAGCTAATTTGCTAGAGAATTAGAGGTGTTATGTGATGGGCTGTGATTGGTCACTTTCCCTTCCAGCCCTGACTCTTTCAAGGACTCATGGTGCTGCTTTCACCGAGGTCATGAGCATTAGGAGGACAAGATAATTTAGAGTATCCACATATCCAGCATATAGTCCAGCATATACAAGTATGTATCAACAATCCTGAATCGTGAACAAATATTTTGAAAGCCAGATGCTCTAAGACTTTCATTTTAACACGTTACTGTATTTCCTGTGGCGAGAAGCTGACACGGGTCCAAACAAAATTCCCGCCTTACCCACTGTTCTCCCAGGTTTACACAGAATTTCTACACGTGTCGAAAAACATGAGGAAAAAGCCAAATGACACATGAGAAAACTTTCAATTCACAGCTATAGCAGGCAAAGTAGAGACATTCTCCATCAGGTAAGTTGGTACAACAGACAATCATTCACAAAGTAAAAAGGGTTTCTCAGTTTCTCTCTACCACTGTGAACAAAATGCACATGCAGTTCGTATTTGACCTTCGCTATCATGCGTTTGTGTTTGATCAACTTACTTCTGTGTCCGCCACTTTCCAAAAATAGAACATGCATATTTATGTGTGTGGTGCCAACAGCTGGAGCAGAACATGAATCAGCTACCAACATGAGAAAGTGAGAAAGTGGCCCTGGCCTTGTGCCGAGGGTCCAGATGCTTTGCCACAGCGGGCTTGGGCTTCGTATCAGAGCAGAGCCCCGGGCGCCCGGCACATCCCACACCTCCCACCCCCCCTGTCCTGTCCAGCCCTGACGAGGCCACAGGCTCACAGCTAACGCTAATTAACACAGACTCCAACTGCAACACATCTGCCGCCTTGCATTCTATTAAGCACGCTCGCCTTCTCCTCCACCAAGGTGATGTGCTGTGATGAGGCTTTGAGGTGTCAGGATCTCCGAGCATTCACCAACGCAAAACTGATGGGAAGTGATCGGGAGGACGACCGTTTCATCTGAGTTCATCAGTAAACATGAGCTGTGATGGGCTTTAATGAAAGATGGCAATGTGTGTTGAATTAGAAGAAGGACTGGTCTAAGCGGTAACTGGGCAGCTTGGACTTCGGCCCTTAACTTTTAAACATCAACAATTTGAACTATTAACTATTAGTACTGGAACTAAAGAAGTTTGGAGCTATTGCAAATTGAAACACTTTTAGATCAATTTTATCAGAAAAATATTAAATATTTTCTAATAAGATGAAGTCAGCATGTTGTGGTCTGACACATTTCCACCTCTGATGCTGTGGCCTAAAGTGCTGCTGCATTTTATTACTATTGAATTACTAATACTAATTACTAATTACTAATTACTAATAAAGGTTTATCTTATTGTTAGCTACTTTTAGAATTATGTATTTATTGGTTTTGTTTGTATGGATGGATGTGTCTCTGCTACTGAACCCCTGGATTTCTCCTACGGGGGATCAAAAAAGTATCTATCTATCAATCTATAATCAGATTAATTATAATTATGAGCAGGATTCCTGTTTTTGTTGCTGGAGCACAGGTACCCGTGGCCCCGGCAAAAGGACTAAACTATTATGTTGAAACGCTTGTCTGGTATTCTTTTAATAACAACAATGTTATTATTGTTTTGGGGGAGTTCTGATTCTCTCCAGACTCTGTGGTGTTAATCCGCAGTAATAAATCGCTGTAATTGAGGCTGGCTCCTCTGGTCACTGCCAATCATTCAAAATGTGCATCAAATATGAACCAGGCCCAAACATCCAAAGATTCCAAATAGCTTCACTTAACTTTGGGGTTTTTAAACACAGGAAAAATCCCAAATGAGTAACATATTTTGAGATTAACAATGAAGATGTTAATTACCACCTATATCATCACAATCGTTAGACCATATTTATTGTTGCATGTTTGTCCAATTAAAAGCCACAGACTGATTAAAACACTCCACTGAAGACACCCCTTGCCTCTCCATCTGTAATCATCTGCTCAGATTTCATTACGACTCCAGTCCTCACATAAGACACCAAGAAAAGAGAAGGATTGGATCATCAAGGCTCACATAGAAAATGATCTAAGTTCTGGTCTGTGGAGGAGTATGTTTGAAGTTCAACTGAATACATGTTCTGGGATTTGGGAGGAACAGGTTTAATTCCCAAACCGATGACTCAATTTGACAAAAATAAATGAATAACTGTCATGCTTCAAAGTCTGTACATGAATCAGGCTGAAGACAGTTAGTTGAGTCATGACACATACTTTTCTCTTTTTATTGTGGCCTATATTTTAATTGTTATTCAAGGCTTTCTTTTGCCAATCTTTAATGATCCATTATTCTAAACTTATGAATATAACCTCGCAGTTATACACTACTTAATTATGATTTTCTTCATTCTACTGTATATCTACCTCTATGGTCCACCTCTGCTGCTGTGACCTAAAGTGCTGCTGCATTTTATTACTATAATTAGTCCATTTTAGAATTATGTATTTATTTTGTTTTGTTCTATGGATGGATGCTTCTGCTGCTACTGAACACCTGAATTTCTATAAAAGTGGATCAATAAAGTATATACCTATCTATGTCCTGTACCACTATTTTAACTAGTAATTTACACACCTCTGATCCGTTCCTTTCAGTATTTCAGTATTTCAGCTTTATCGTCTCATCCTCACCACATGTACACACCAACAACTTTGTTCCATGAGGAGATGTAAACATGAAACATGGAGCTCCATCCATGCTGCATAATTCATGCTACATAACCAGACATGCATAAAATATAACATTTGCATTGGTTTCTATATTCTTAATTAGCTCCACAGTGACATTTCTGGATGAACATTGATTCCAGAGGGCTAATCTGCAGATAGGGCCAGCTACATGGCAAGTTTCGACCGTATGTAGCCCGAAGGTTTTGATTTTTGTAACATGTTATTAATTCGTTGAGGGCTTCATGTACAGAGTCTAATTAAACACCTGAGCTTGTTTCAACAGTTTGGAATAAAAACTAATTAAAACAGTACGCCTTGATTTTTACTCACTGCTTGTTAACTGGGAGGGAGACGGGAATGTGCGCTCTGCATGGAAAATGAGGATCTCCGTTGGGAAGCTACTCCGTCCAAACACAGCTCTTCATTTCACTGGAAAACAGCCTGATATCCGAACCTGTAACACACGCACCACAAAACCAGGTGTGATCATAGACTGTAAATATTGTGATTAACGCATTGAGGCTAATGCATTCACCTACAGCCATGTTTGTTTGAATAATGCTAGCTCGTTAATAATAATCATGTAGGTTTTGTGTTGTTCTAAGATTAATGTGAGATTTTTTGTTCTCTTTCAACACTCAAAAAGCTTTTACAATGGAGGAAACAGGTCAAATGTATCTGTTTAAACATTTATGTCTAAGTAGTTCTGAACAGGTGAGTTTTGGGAAGTGGTTTTGAAGTGAGTCCGAGTTCCTGATGGTTTGTGAGAGAGAGTTCCAGAGAGTGGGGGCCGCTGTAGCAAAGGCCCAGTCCCCCAAGTAATTAGAAAACTAAACTAACTAAAATATTATAAATACAACACAAATGCTAATATAGTATACATTATAATGGGTGAAACAGACGAAAGGTTGAGCTTAGAGAGAGGACTACATAAAATGGAGGTAAGAAAAATGTGTTCAAGCCGATATTATTGTAGAACTAATGTAATGAAAAGCTGTTTGTCTATTAGAGGGGTTGATCTCTGGAAGGGATGCACAAACAAACTTAAAACCTGCAATTCACTGTACCACTTTAGAAGGATGTTTAAAACTATAATTTTGGATGGCTAACTGAACTCAGATTTCTGATGTTGATATAGTTGCTAATTTAAATGCTATTGTTTACATTCACTTATACTAATGACACCTGTAAAAAGGGTAGGCAATATAAGCATTAGCTTCAACCTACTCCTTTTCGGTCTTTGTTTCTGCTTTAATTTACTATCCTGACAATGTGAAAAATGCACAAGTGACCGAAATAAAATAAAAAACTGAAGAAAAAAAAACCCCCTGAAATTATAGATCCATGTTTCAAGCCAGGTCTCTGTTGTAGGTGTCTTAGATTGTGTAGAATGTCTGCTACTTTGGAACCTACAGGTTTAACAATATCCCCTTTAGTGAAAATATCCCAAATAAGGCAATACAAATTCACAAAGAAAGTCTAAAAATAACCAGAGATTGAAATTCCACTGGCCCCACAACTTATTTTTGTTTCTCTAATCTGTAAATTATTTGATCATGCTTTTGTCAAAATTGGAAACACATCAACATTATTATGGCGCCTAAACTTTTATAGCAGTGCCTGAAGCCCAAACACAAGTGCAAAAGAGGCAAGTGTAATGGAGAAAGATGTGAACAAATGTTAAGGGTGTGTGCGCTCCAGATTACTGAGGAATGCAGGGGTCCAGGCCCGGCTCCGCTCCGGACACTGTGGGGATTTCACTGCACAATATTAGCAACAGACACAAATTAGCTCAGGACGATATTATTTTGCTATCACAGTGCAACAGGTATCAATTGATGAAGGTACGGTTTTTTTATGTCAACGGAAATTAACTTTTTATTTTTTTGAAATAGTATTAGAGCTTGTATGATGTACTTTTCTCTTGATCTTCAATTTACAATATGAACTGTTTTGCCAGACGAAAACTGCTCTTTAACAGGTTTGTACATTTTATCATCGTAGATAGATAGATCGATACATTATTGATCCCTGTAGGAGAAATTCAGGTGTCCAGTAGCAGCAAAAATAAAATAAAATTGATCATTCTAAAAAGCTAACAATAGTAATAATAAGAAAGAGCCCTTCAGGTCACAGCAGCAGAGATGGAGTAGCCTATGGGTGGAGCAGGACGGGTCACAAGGTGGAGTAGCCGCTTGGTTCGGACCATTTTCTCTGCTCTAGTCCAAAGTAAAATGCTAAATACTTCATTAGCATTTCTCAAAAAGTTAGCATTCCTCCAGTGGATTTTCGGCTGATCCACTTGGTTTGGACCATGAATCCTCTCCGCTCCGGTCTGGACCAGTGCAAAACTATGCACACTGTACTGCAGCAACATCATAGGTAGAAAAAAACAATAAAAATAAAAATTGTAAAGCACAAAGCAACAACTGTTTCAGAGCTACTTAGAACTTGCTGCCTTTTCCAGCGCATTCAAAAGTATTCATATATGTTTAAAGTTGGGCTTTGTTTCAAAACTAATACTTTTTGTTTATCCCAACAGAAAGAGTTTTGTAAAAGCAAAATCTGTCATGTAAACACACACAAAGTTATAGTTATTAATCCCGTAAATACTTGTACATGTCCTTAGTATTTCCATAAAGGATAGAGCGAGCATCAGCGGTTTGTACAAGTACTAGATGAAAACAGTTCTCTCAGCTTCCATTTGAATGTTCTAATGACTGTTGGCCTGCTATACTGATGTCAAACAGTATTTCCATTTAGTTCAGAGCTCCCCGCTGGCTACTGCTATATTTTAACAAAAATCCCATCAGCAAGGCCACAACCCTTCTGTTAATCCACTGTGTACAGCCTCTCGCAGCCACAGAGCCCGGAACACTGCTGCTTTGTCAGGTCACAACACAAACGGCCCTCTCACTAAACGCTCGAATGACAAGCGTCGCCTTTGGGTGCCTGTAGCAGGGTCTATGAAAGGGATTTAATTGGCCTCATCAGGTCAGTGGGTGTCTGAAGGCGATACCTGTTACAGCTCGACACCTGCCCACAGCTAAAACAGTGGCAGTGTGGTTGGTACATGTGAAAAGAAATCAATGTGAATGAAGACTGAACATACAAACAATTACACACAACTCACTGAAATATTGCTCGTCCCATATTTGTTTTGTTTTATTATGTTGAATATGTAAGGCTGTAAACAAAAGATAAATCCAGATGATTAACTAATGGGCATTGGAGACAGATGTGCCTCTGTCAGAATGGAAACATAAAAAACAGTGAAGGTCTGCCCTCTTGTGGATGAGTCACACATTACAAGTTACTCCCAAACGAAACTTCCATGAATCAAACACACTCCATATGAAACTGTGATTACAATAGCGACCCACTACTTCGCCTATTAGCTTGTGCTTGCAAAGAGCCAAAATTCACACACACTGAAGTGATGAAATACAATTTGTTCACGTAGATATCGTTTTTTTTAAACCTAAACATTCCATTTGACTTTTTGAAGAAAAAAAGTGTCACTGCTGAAATGCACAAGCAGCACAACTTACAGAATTTTAGAATATTGCACCAAAATATTAGTCGGGCTAAACACCAGACTAAAAAACAAGTGATTATTAAGAAGTGCTTTATAATTGTCAATAGCCGTTTATGTGAGTCAGAAGAAAGGCATAAAATTACACTTTAGTCATAAGACACATTGGCAATATGATCTAGAAGCTGCATTTGACTGATTTCATCACCTAACCCTAACCCTATCCTTTATTAAGTTCTTATAAACATGATGTTCAAAAGTGTTTTACATCCATTTGGACAATGAAATCATCCATTAAACATACAAGATTATTATTGCAGCAGAAAAGCAATTATCTGACGTCTCTACTCCATTCCATATCATTAGCTAGCAGAATGATAGAACTTTACCTACGTTGTTTCTGGGCCCAACAATAAAATTTTACTAAACTTATAAAGTAAGGGAAAGCAAGCTGTCCATTTTAACCTGTTATGCAGGACAGTGCTGCCACCTGGCGGACACCGTGGTACTGCTGGGCTGAGGTCTGAAGACTGTAGACATGGATCTATGGAGAATAAAAGAGATCCGTCCACACGTGCTGGACTTTAACAAGGTCATTTATACATTCACCATCACACATATATTTACACTAGCAATTAAAACCGATATAATCCGCTCCTTTGACATTGTGCTTCCCTCGTTAGGCTATTTGTTTAAAAGTTAAACTAGCAAAAAATTTACCATTAATAGTCTCTTCCAAATGCCGCAAATCCTCATCAAACACAAGTCAACCTCCTTATGTGAATATATCTGAGGTATCCTATATATAAATCAATCTAAAATGGTCTTAAATATTTGAAAAGCTGTTCTTACCGCGTCCGTCGTGAATCTTGACTGAAAAGTCCCAGTCCCAAACTCGTGCAAGTTAAGATTAAAAAGAAGAAGAAGAAGAAGGGAAAACCGCACGAAAAATATACTCAGTTATAAGCATAGATCGTACAAATATATAAAAACAAATAGTTTAAATTGTATGTTTATCATTATGTTAATCAACAACTGTACATATCCCTTTCTCCATCGTTCGCTCTTCTACGGTATGTCCAGTAGAGGGCGCTAATGCTGTTTTTACTTGGACAATTTACATGAATTATAATCCAAAGACCTGTCTTCTGAGCCTCAAATTAACCTAATTTTAAATGATCAGTGGAAAATAACTCAATGTGTTGTTTCGTAGTATCTGTGAGTAGCTGGAAGTGTTTCCTTTTACTCCAGACAAATATGTGTACTCTAACATGTTACACATTTAGTTACTATAAAAACCTTGCAAATGACGACACGACATGAAATAGAACCAGATAGTTTGTCCAACGCCATATGAGCATTATGGTGAAGTAGTTAGGCCACGGATGCATTATTAGCATGCTTTTAAGTTTGAGGTGCTTAGTCATACTTTGGCAAGTTTTTACTCATTGTTCTACATTGCATATTGTCACAAAATATATAATATTGCAATTTGCATATTGACAATTGTTGTGATATCCATCAAAACACGCGAGCAGCAAGTTTTCCAGTTGAGGAATCAATCAGTTTATTAAATCAGAATAAGTGCAATTTATTGAGCTTCATGACGTTATTTGGGGTACTCCCAGGAACCACATTGCCTGCTAATAAATCATAATAAATGAGACTGCATTTCCCATCATGCTCAACAACAATTATAATAATTTTTAATAACAATGCCTGTTGATGTTTCTGATATTTGTATCTTGAATCGATATAATAATGTTTCTTGGTTATTTACGTTTTGGCTTGAATTTACAGTCACTAGTAGGAATAAATAGTTCATTAAAACCATACAACTGAAAAATACATTATAACATTTATGTTTCTATTATCATAACACACATTTTCCCTGTGAACGTGAACGCCTCTTCCGGATCCGAATTCTCCATCTTTCCACCGAAGAATCCTCCCCGGGCCAAACCTACTGCGCTTTGCCCTTTTATAATCACGATCAAACACCGGAATCCACTCTTTACTACTAATCAAAGGTCAGAATAGCATTTAGAAACATAATCCTGCCCCATTCTTCAGTTATTATTGCGATGTGTCTTGTTTTGCCTGTATGCTTCTGCCTTACTCGCACCATTACCGCTGTTTAGAATGAAAGTGGGTCGCTGTGCCACGAATAAATGACTCGATTGTATTTTCTGGTTATGTTGGTTTTTTTTAATGTTCTTGTGTGGGCTTGTTATGTTTTTAGTTCATGCAAAAGGAATACTGACTCGTGCCGTGGCTCCTGTTATTGATTTGCAAGTGATGCTATTAGCCGCTTCTTGCTAGCTAACATCTGCAGAGAGAAAGTGATGTGGAGTCAGAGCTGCGTAAGAAAGGCTTAATTACGGATATTGCTTTACGTTTAGAACAGTTTTGGGATCATGGATGAGTCAGTAACATGTATGACAGATCCATCATCAAAGGATTCTTGTTGAATGCTTGTCTTCTGAAAATAGCCTTGTTTTATTGCCTTGACAGGAATGTTCCACAGTGGTGTTGGTGTCTATAGTTTTGTTTTTTTATAACAAAATATTATATATTTGAATGAGAGAAAGGTCCCTAAAGTGTTGCATGAAACAGGAAGCTGAAACACATGCAGAAACACGTACTGTTTTCAATTACACTTTTAGTTTTTTGCCAATATCTTACTTTTCTTTAGCTGTCTTTTGGTAATTTAATGAGCTAATCAAATATACACTTAGTTCAGTTTTCTGTGAGCATCTTTAAGCTACAGGTCAAACCTCTGGACAGTATTTTTGACAACGAATAGCTCATAACCAAGAGCATTATGAAAAATATATTTTTGGTTAAAAAAATATTTACAAATCTGTATGTTTCTCCGCTCTTCTCCACAGATAAGTAACTGCAGCCATGACAGACTCCAAGTATTTTACCACGAACAAGAAGGGTAAGAGGACACAAACAGATGTAATAGTTTTAATAATGTTCTCCTGTGATAAATATGTTTTGTTTGTTTTATTATTTAAGGAGAGATATTTGAGCTGAAGGCAGAGCTGAATAATGAGAAGAAGGAGAAGCGAAAAGAGGCGGTCAAGAAGGTCATCGCTGCAATGACTGTGGGCAAGGACGTCAGGTAAGTCAGCAATTATAATTTACAACTCAAATATGCGTATATTTCCTTTAAAAGTTAAGTTGGAAAATTATAAATGTTAAATGATGAGAAACTTACTTTTAGTGTCCCTTTGCTATTTTTTGCATGTAGGGGATAAAAAATTGTAATATATTTTATTGGCTACAACAGTAAACTGATTATACTTGTCATGTATGCGTGCCGTGGGTTTCAGAATTACACTAAATGTTGTGATTTGCATACTGCTACTTCCACAGTTTGTTCATGTAATTATTTGTTTCTTATGTATTAGTATGTCTTTGCAAACTATGAAAGCCCTGATCAAGAATTCCAAAGATGATTGCATGAAACGGGGAGTTAAAGCCACTACTGTGTTATAGAGCGTCAGAAGTGTTTTGGTCTTTTCTTGTCCTCACCTTTTACATTATTTTTTTATGAAAATCTCTGCTTGTGTCCAGTTCTCTGTTCCCAGACGTGGTGAACTGCATGCAGACTGATAACCTGGAGCTGAAGAAGCTGGTCTACTTGTACCTGATGAACTACGCCAAGAGCCAGCCCGACATGGCCATCATGGCGGTCAACAGCTTTGTCAAGGCAAGACACTCCCCTCCCTCACACAGAGACACTGTGCTTATGTCTGCTGCAAAGTTCTCCTCTGTGGATCTTTATGGGTTATAACAACACAACAACATGTTCGCTGGGGGGAGTTTAACAGACGGATGGGCTCAGATTCCAGAAAATGAAAAGACAAATATTCTAAAATGATCAGTTTTGAAAATCTCAACAATATTTCAGTGGAGATGGTTTTAGCTCCATCTGCACTAGGGTTGTCCATAGTATCAATATCAGACATCTTTGAGCTTTTTAAAAAATGATTTAAATCTATCATGAAAGTAGTATACATTTTTTTACACCTCCACCTCATCTGATCAATTCTTTCTTTTTAATTTCACTGATTGTTGCGTACTGCACAGAGCTGTTTTCTGCTTTTTTAAAACAAAAGTATCGTCTCTAAATTAGTTTTAGGAATTCATAATGTCATAGTCTGAGGATTTGTCATAGCACAGAGACTTTGAAAATGGAGGATGTTGACAAAAACAACTCTAGGTCTGTCTTTTAAAGGAATAATTTTGTATTATACTGTATGTCTCCTTTAAAGAGAATGTGAGGTGGTATTTGACATTTATCCGTGTTTTTCTCCTCCTTCCTCCAGGACTGCGAGGACCCAAACCCTCTGATCCGAGCCCTGGCCGTACGCACCATGGGCTGCATCCGTGTGGACAAGATCACCGAGTACCTGTGCGAGCCGCTGAGGAAGTGCCTGAAGGACGAGGACCCGTATGTGAGGAAGACCGCGGCCGTGTGTGTGGCCAAGCTCCACGACATCAACGCTCAGATGGTGGAGGACCAGGGCTTTCTGGACTCACTCCGAGACCTCATCGCAGACTCTAACCCCATGGTGAGCGAGTGCATGATGACACTGATGCTGGAAGATCCTCCTCAACACATTTAGATGATGGCATTCTAAATAACTAAACGATTACATGAAATTCTATGATTCATCAAACTAAGCCATAGTTTGTTACAGCGCTAATTAATTTGAATATATATAGGTGGTTTTCAATCAATCAATCCATTTTCATTTATATAGCCCTTTACAACACTCAAGGCGACGAAAGTGCTTTACAATGAACCAGAATCCTTTTATAATTCTCATCACCTAAACATGCAAAAGTCATAGCATTTCAAAATCCCTGTTTTCCAATGAGAATCTTCCATCACTGACTGAACACGTCACATGGTCGTGTGTGCAGGTGGTGGCCAACGCAGTGGCAGCTCTTTCTGAGATCAGCGAGTCTCACCCCAACAGTAACCTGCTAGACCTGAACCCCCAGAACATCAACAAGCTGCTGACCGCACTCAACGAGTGCACAGAGTGGGGTCAGATCTTCATCCTGGACTGTCTGTCAAACTACAACCCCAAGGACGAGCGCGAGGCCAAGAGGTACACTGCACTCATCCAGACATCTACAAAATCATTGTTTCATTGTCATTGTCCCCTCATCATTAACTTACTTGGACCTTATATTAGCTACATCTGAGCTCATATTGGAGGCAGTCCAACAAGGTTCATTTGGTCTTCTGATTCTCCACAATGATTCCTTATTTGAGGCCAGAGCAGTCTTCCTGCAGTTTGACACCCCTGACTAAGACCGTGCCATGTTCAATTAAGGGTGTATTCAGACCTGAAAAGTCCTTTGCTCCGCTTGCTTGATCCGAATCAAAAGCGGACCAAACTTTTTTCTTTTGCTCCGTAAGTAAGTAGTAAGTAATCTTTATTTATATACCGCCTTTTCACTGCACATCGGAGTCTCAAAGCGGTTTACAATTGTTATTTTTTGGGAGTGGGGGTGCCAGTACAGGAGGCACATGCCAGACCTATTGTACATATTTTTAGTGGTAGGGGAAACCGGAGCACCCGGAGGAAACCTACGCAGACACGGGGAGAACATGCAAACTCCACTCAGAAAGGCCCTGGTCCAACCGGGATTTGAACCCAGGACCTTCTTGCTGAGACGCGAGAGTGCTATCCACTCAGCCACCGTGCCGCTCCGGTTCGTATTCAGACTGTCCTTTTAGCAAGTGAACTTTTTTATATAAACATATCGACACGTGTGACGATCGGCGCTCCTATTGGACAGAGAGAGCTCACGGAGGATAGACGCGGAACCGGCAGAAAACATTGAGGGCTCCTATGTGCAGCATGTCTGCTCTGCCTCTGTTTGCTCTTTTTAGAGCAAAACCACCTTCAACAGCAGCTCATATGACACAGGCGAAACACGTTGTTTTAAATATTGGAACAGCGTCGGAGAATGCGTGAGGAGAAAGCCGAAGGAGACTCTGTGCGCTCCGTGCCCTGTCCTGTCCCACACATGGATCTATGATAATAACCCTGTTCCACAACTTACTGACAGCAGCATCGTGGATAAACCATGGATCTATAACAGGGGTGCTCACACTTTTTCAGCATGCGAGCTACTTATAAAAGGATCAAGTCAAAATGATCTACCTACTACAAAAATGCAAATCACATATTTATTTCAAAAAATATTCTTTATTCCTACAATGTATGTTTATGTACATGCAAAACCGCATGAGCCAATATAGCACAACACAACACAATTACCTATGTACATTTTTTGTCATTACCCGAGTTTACTCTGATGACTTGCACTGAATTGAATCGGCCAGGGATGCATAGTCCGGAAAATTGGTGGTAACTCGCTGACAAGTTTGTCGTTGTTTAGCTTTCCTGCACTGAGCGCGGTTGTTTGCGCATGTGCAGTCACCTAAGTGTCAGTAAAACATTACTGAGTAAAACACAGATGTCATTTGACTGTGGTGCCATGTCCATGTGCCATGCCTGGTTTTTTTTAATCCAAATATTTCCCCTCCTCAGTTTATAAAATAATTTGCATCCACACATCTGTGTTATCAATCACATTCGTAACATTCCAAATATGTGCGTCTCTTACGTCCTGTCCTGCGTTGGGGAAAAACACGGAAGTGGGCGGAGCTTTGATGCAGACGCCGGTAACGGCACTTTTACAGTCATAGAAGACACTCAGAGTAAAGACGTATGTTTACAAGCACTGACCCCGTCCTCAGCCCTGGTTTAGCCCTGGTTTACCCTGGTTTAGTCCTGGTTTAGTCCTGGTTTAGTTGTTTTCGAGCGTGAGTCCCTGCGATCACTTTGCTGCTCTCTGATGTGGAGCGAGGATGTTCGCTGCTGCGAGCATCTCACAGCGAACAGTTTTTAAGGTAGTATGATCCATGCTTCAGTGATCAGAGGAATTTAGGGGGGTACTGTGGCGTGCGAGAACGCAAAACTCCGGTTATCTCTGTCTACACACAAATGCATTAATGGATTTTTCAAAAATCTCCACTTTGCCCGGAGTTTTTTGTATATATTCGTTTAGAATGTGTAATTTTTTATTTATTTAATGCGATCTACCAATACTACCTTTGCGATCGACTGGTAGATCGCGATCGACGTATTGAGCACCCCTGATCTATAATAACCACGGGACAAACAGACGCTGAGGATCAGGTAGGAACCAAAGAACACAATTCACCACATGATGCAGAATATTGCTCTTTTAGACGTGAGTCAAACAGTGTCAGGTTTTTAATAATGCAAATGGTTTGAAGATGCTGCCATTAACATCACTGTATACTGTGAACAGTTCTAACTTCATAAGCCTGTTGCACAGCATCTTCTTACTGCTCCAGGTCTGCACACGGCTCATTGTTGTTGTGTAGCGTTAGCAGCATAGTTAGCAGCATAGTTAGCAGCATAGTTAGCAGCATAGTTAGCAGCATAGTTAGCAGCATAGTTAGCAGCATAGTTAGCAGCATAGTTAGCAGCATAGTTAGTAGCATAGTTAGCAGCATAGTTAGCCGCTGTGACGCATGGCTAATTCCTCAGTTTCTGTCTGCGGTGCTTGTTAAGCCCAAAAAATGCGCACGTATCTTGGAGTTTTGTCGGATCGACACCGGATGTATTCAGACCTGATTCGACTTGGACCAGAATTCGTTTGGAAGCGGACCGAGACCACCTCAAAAAGTGGGTCTCGGTTCGGTTCTTTGGTCCGGACCAGGATTCGTTTGTGTGTATTCAGACCTGCATAAAAGCTTCGGATCAGAGTTCCAAACGAATCCTGGTCCGTTTAAAGTGGAGCAAATGTGCAGGTCTGAATACACCCTTAGATTTGCCCCAGCTGATGGCACCTTCTACCGCTGGATGGGAGTGTCGAGATCATGTTTAAAGGGCAGAAATACACAAAGAATGCACTTATGTATTCTAAGTATTTAAACTTTTCCCAGGGCGGATAATGAAACGGAAAGGAATAATTTTAATTTCCTGAATAATTCACATTTCCACCTCTGTCTTCACATACAGCATCTGCGAGCGTGTGACCCCCAGACTGTCCCACGCCAACTCAGCCGTGGTGCTGTCCGCGGTCAAAGTGCTGATGAAGTTCCTGGAGCTTCTGCCCAAAGACTCTGAATACTACAACACTCTGCTGAAGAAGCTGTCCCCTCCTCTGGTCACTCTGCTGTCCGGAGAGCCCGAGGTGCAGTACGTGGCCCTGCGCAACATTAACCTCATTGTGCAGAAGAGGTCAGAGGACGCCGCTCCGGTCTTTTAATATCTCAACTGGTCAGATAACTAATGACTGTGTTTGTGTGTTTCCCTCGGCACAGGCCAGAGATTCTGAAATCGGAGATCAAGGTGTTTTTTGTCAAATACAACGACCCCATCTATGTGAAGCTGGAGAAACTGGACATCATGATCCGCCTGGCGTCCCAGGCCAACATCGCACAGGTAAAGTATAAATACTTTTGTGTTTTGATGTTATTATTGTATTATTTATCTTCATTTAATAAGGAAAATTCCATTAAGATTTGAATATCTGTTTATGGATTAGTGGTTAGCGGTCTTGCTTCTTAGCTGGAAGATTGTGGGGTTGATTCTATCTTCAGACGGGTTTTTCTGAGTCTCGTAGCATTCTATTGGAGTGGTCTTACTTTTGCATCACATACACTTTGTTTCGCTGTAATCGCGATGAGATAACAAACAATTTTTCTATAAACGTGACCTGGATGTTTTTGTGTGTCTTCCAGGTGCTGGCCGAGCTGAAGGAGTATGCTACGGAGGTGGACGTCGACTTTGTGCGTAAAGCTGTGCGCGCTATCGGCCGCTGTGCCATCAAAGTGGAGGTGAGGTGCTTGTTTTCTATTGGAGGAAATGTCACTGCACCGGAATAGGAATAACTCATGACACTTTTACTGCTGCTGTAAACTAAAGCCCATCAAACACTTCTACCACAGTTGAACTAAAACCCAGCGTAGATACATTCAGAGCGTTATTATATTTTGATAAAAAGGAAAAAAAATTGTGTATACAACATTAGTGTGCATGTATGCGTATGTGGGTGTGTGTGTGTGTGTGTGTCCAAAATTGAAATGAATGTTTATGTAATCTAATTTATGATATACATGGTCTTGTATGATAGAACAGTATTGCATAACTGTGGTACTGCTGCATACCAATATCACAATGTGCAGTCCACATGCATCTGTAAAACTCATGGTAAATAGGATTCTGTGGTTATTAAATGATGCATTAATTAGAGTTTGCGTCGCTAAAATAGATGAATCTAGGTCCTTTGTCTCCTCTCTCTTCAGCAATCTGCCGAGCGCTGCGTTAGCACTCTGCTCGACCTGATCCAGACCAAGGTCAACTACGTGGTGCAGGAGGCCATTGTGGTCATCAGAGACATCTTCCGCAAGTATCCCAACAAGTGAGTCAAGCCACAACGGATATGTATATTTCATTTGATTTAAGTAGGATGAGGTGTGATTTCTGAGTGCTGTTTTGGGAGCAAACATTATTACATAAATGTGTGTGCCACAGAGGGCACAGTGATATTTGTTTTGTTTTAAGGTGAGCATTAGGTCATAAAAACATTTGCAAAGCTTTTAATAATAATAATGCATCGGTTTTATATAGCGCTTTTTTGGACACTCAAAGACGCTTCACATGTGTCATTATTCATTCACTCCATACACGGTAGTGATAAACTACTTCTGTAGCCACAGCTGCCCTGGGGCACACTGACAGAAGCGAGGGTGAAGTGTCTTGCCTAAGGACACAACAGCAGTTTGTCTTGAGCGGGGCTTGAACCCACGACCTTCTGGCTCAAAGGTCAATGCTCTACCAACTGAGCTACTGCCTTTTCTACTTTACTTGAACTAAATTGAACTGAAAAACCATAAATTGAACTGAAAAACTATAAAACATAAGTAAAACATGCGCTGAACCTTTGCCGCTGATAGTAACAATGGTTGGCTAGAACTTGAAGTTTATTGGCCAGTCCATGAGACTTGTTGTTGCCATGTCAGGTATGAGAGCATCATCGCCACGCTGTGTGAAAACCTGGACTCCCTGGACGAGCCAGATGCTCGCGCTGCCATGATCTGGATTGTGGGCGAGTACGCAGAAAGGATCGACAACGCGGACGAGCTGCTGGAGAGCTTCCTGGAGGGTTTCCATGACGAGAGCACACAGGTCAGCGCACAATCCGGACACACAGAGCATGCACATACAGCTCAGGACAGACACCCCGTTTTCATTCAACAGGAAAAAAAAGAATGCTTTGTTTTGTTTTACAAAATGTATTTATTTATTTTGGGCCAAAATGTTTCAAAAAATGTTTAATTCAGAATCTTGCCTACCTGTTCATTGTATTTCTAATTGATTATGTTTCAAAACTTTTGTTCAGAAAAGGCCAAAAACAATTTGCACAAGTTTTTGGGTCATCTATAACTTTTACATGTGTCCCCAGATACAGGTCGTATCTGGGGACACATGTAAAAGTTATAGATGACCCTCTGCCCATGTCTCAAGCAATTTCTTGAGTATTATTACGTTACTATATTTACAAGGGTTTCTATACCACCCAGAAAAGTCATCAATTATGTAAGAATGTACAACATATCCCCCTAAACCCGAAGAGTCCATAAACATGTGTGTGTAGAATGTCAGCAGTCCTTCTGAACCTGGTGTGGTGTTTCCAGGTGCAGCTGACTTTGCTCACGGCCATCGTGAAGCTGTTCCTCAAGAAGCCGTCTGAGACCCAGGAGCTGGTGCAGCAGGTCTTGAGCCTGGCCACACAGGTGAGCAAGGGAGAGTCTACACCTACATCTAAAGAATATTACTGGTTATTAAATGCATTATAACACGTAAATCATAGTGGTTGTCAACCCATTGTGACTTAGTATTTTGTCTGAAATTGTGATCATCCAAATATGTTTTGTAAACATTTGAGGAATTTATATTTTATTCTCTATGGAAATTATTTAGTTTTCCAGCCCCTACAGTAAACTAGCATTAAAATGAGTCGGAATGATTATATTTATGAATTGCCTTATTTTAGTCCTCACATAAGAGTGGAGAGAATACTTTCCCTGCAGCAGCCAATTCTTGGCAAATTAGGCTAGGCTTAAAATCTTATATTTGTTCTGCTCCTAGGACTCCGATAACCCAGACCTGCGTGATCGAGGCTACATCTACTGGCGCCTGCTGTCCACAGACCCGGTGACGGCCAAGGAGGTGGTTCTGTCGGAGAAGCCCCTGATCTCTGAGGAGACTGACCTGATCGAGCCCACGCTGCTGGACGAGCTCATCTGCCACATCGGCTCTCTGGCCTCAGTCTACCACAAACCTCCCAACGCCTTTGTGGAGGGCAGCCACGGGATCCACCGCAAGCACCTGCCTGTGCAGCACAGCAGGTCAGTCAAACCACCACTAAATATTTACTTTGGCATTTTCTGTTTTCTATCGTGAAAACATTTCCTAAAATATTCTCTGTGGTCCATTCTTTATAAACAAAGATGACTTTATAATCTTTATATTATAGATATGATGTAATATATTCTATAAATACAATACAGATAATTATTTACTAAAGGATAAAAAACAGATGCAGCGTGTATTTTCCACTTCTACCACCAGAGAGACAAGTTTTTTTTATTTTATTTACTTCAAACATTGCATGCTGCTGAAGACACATGGAGAAACATATTTTACCGGGTAAATTGCCAAAACTAATTAGGAGGCAATATTTTTGTTTTAAAGGGTGAAAACATGTTCTTATAGTGTAAGAATACATCATAGCATACATATTTGTGCCAAAACAATTTGATAGTAGCATGGACGGAAATCCAGGTCTGTTTTTGATCATGAGCAATCTTGTGCGTGGTTAAAAACTCAAAAAAAAAACTTGCCCTGCAGTTACAGATTCTGCAGATATGATAAATGAAAAGCCAAAGTAAATATTCTCATTAATTTTTAAGGGCGAAAATATTTCTTTTATAACGGGTTTCTCTTCAAAGGACACAGGTTTTTTTTAAGAGGTCTTTACAACATTCGTATCGTGACTGTAGAACATTCTTCCATTTAAATCAAACCCAAAACACTGTAACTCACTGACGTTTTGCTTTTGCGGCACAGCATCGACACCGGGGAGAGCCCTGTGAGCAGTGGGCCCTCCGCAGGCATAGAGCAGACGCACGTCATCCCCAGTCAGGGAGACCTCCTGTTGGACCTGCTCAACCTGGACCTGGGCCCACCCGTCAACGTGCCCCAGGTGTCCTCCATGCAGGTGGGGGCCGTGGACCTGCTGGGGGGAGGCCTGGACAGTCTGGTGAGGGAGTCTGCGATCTGTAAACCATTGGGCTGTCTGTGATGGGAAAGCTGCTGTTCTGTTTTTATCTCTGCTTTCTGCTTTATAACGATCATTTATGATACAAGCGGTTCATTATTTTGTATGTAGTGAATGTGAAATATAAATATTGATCTAAACAAGACTTTTCTCCGGAACTGATCACCACCATCTCATAGTTGCCATGGACAATAACAATCTATATATTTAGTTTATTCACATGCATGTATTTTTGTCCACCAGCTCCAACATATTTTATTTTTTATTTAATTTCATTTATTCATTTTGAGCAGATCACATGAAAAAACAATAACAAATGTAACAGCGGTGCATAAGTAAAGGAATTAGAAAACATTTGGCTCGAAAAGGAGTGGGAAGAAGAAAACTTTTTGAATCCCACCCCTATTGTCCATTGCTTCTTTAAAATATATAACTTAACTGCCATTTCCATAAAATAAAATAATAAAAAAAAACACAAATGAGGAACATATTCTCAATGCAACAAAATTCATCAAATGTTCTGAACTTAAATACTAGTTTACAATCATTTGTAAACTTCTTTCGCTTAGAACATTGAAGTTGCTCTATAGAATATAAAGCACAGATAAAAGTAACACATTTCAATATACAGGTTTGTCAGCTTTATATGTATCAAAAATAGAATAAGTAAAACAATTATAATGTATGAAGTAACAATTAATTGAATAGAAACAATGAAATACCAGTTATCCAATACAAAACAAAAATTAAATTATAAAATACCAGTTATTCAATTAAAAAAAACAATAAAATGGAAAAAACAGAGGGCCACACAAAAAAGCTAAATGGGTCTTAAGACTTAAAACATTCCAAGCTTCTTCACACTCAAAAGAGAACCAGGGTGGATTTCCCTGGCAGCAGCCAATCAGCTCTCAGTCCAAAGAGGCATAATAGTTACTCACATGGCTCTTCTTTAGTGGAGCTGACTCTGTTTTGTCATGTTTGTGCAGTTACTCGAATGGGTGAGAGTTGTGCGTTACATTGTTAGTGTCAGTTGCAAGATTACAGCCCAAACTTTTTATATTGGCGTATTGAAACGTATTGGCGCGTGACAAGGACATCCATGCTGACATTGTCCTTAAAGACCTTATGACGGGTTTAAAAAAAAAAAAATAGTGGATATCAAAATTGCATGACAATGTCAATTTGAAAGAGATTCCGGCAAAAAAAATCCTATATTTTATAAAAAGAACGTGTTTTTCATGAATTTAAGTTGTCTATGCTCTAACCTGTGTGTGACGTCACAGCGGGTTACGCCCATGCATTGAAAACCATGGATCTATGCCACAGGACTGCCTTTTCTCTCTTCTCTCCACTGATGCCCAACACAATACTGCCCTCTACAGGTGACAATTGCTCACTACACATAAATTGCCGTTTTGAGTGTGAAAAAGTGTCCAAGATGGGATTTGAACCCAAGTATCTGGACTGGCAGTCCATCAACACAACCACTGGACTATCTTAGTGACAACAGAGTGTTAGCATCTAGTAGTTATGTTAGACTCGCTGTACACCGCCTTGTCATATTGAATATCCGCGAAAAAAGAACGAATACCAAATTGTAAACAACTTACAGCGTTGAAACATACCCGTTCTGACGTCACCAAGGGCTGTGAAGTTTTTTCGTTTCTAAGGGCGTTGCTATGGGGTTATTTCGATTTGGGGGGATCAGACAAAAAAAACAACAACTGATTTTGAAACCTTTAGTAGTTCTCTTCTAATATAAAATGGTATTAAAACTGTATTTCTAAATAAATCAAACCCGTCATAAGGTCTTTAACTTTATTTGACGGTAAAGACGGTAAAGTATTTTAAAAGCATATGTTTTTGAACTGTGACTGTGATACTGTATGTGCTGTGTGTGGTGGTATGTGGTCGTGGGGCTGCCCTCTAAGCCTCTCTCCCCTCTTTCTCTCCTGGCTCTCATGGTTCTCATGGTTCTCCTGGTTCTCCTGGTGCTGATGTGGTCTGTAGCTGGGGGGAGACCTTGGAGGAGGTGTTGGGGGAAGTCCGGCAGTAAGTTCCTCCGCTCTCTTTGCATCTATCCATTTTATCGTCTCTGCAATCTTTTCACTTTCACCAGACACTTCTGAGGTAAAGATCGATCCATGGTGTTTGTCATGGCTGATTTTGGAAGATAAAGCAAAAAAAAAAATCTTTGCTCACTTTTGAAATCGTGACTATTCAAACGATTACTTAAATACAGCTTAAAACATATTCTGCACATATATTTTAATTGCATATTTGTTATCATTGAAAGGAACAGACCCAAAAATGTCGGGCAATATGAACTCCTGCCAATGTGAACTGATTTTGCAGTGCATTGGCAAACTGATTATGGATCTATCTCTACTCTCTAATTTCAGCTCTTCAGCTTTAAAACATGTATATATATATTTTTCTTTGTCTCACAATTTTCACAACGTCAGTAGTAGAATAAAATAGACCATTTCTCTTTTCATTCATCCATCAACTATCTTTAGTGCTTGTAAACTAGCTTTAAATTGTTTTTTTCCTTTTTTTTGTATTTCTTTGCATGCAATGATGCTCTATGTAGTTTAGTTTGGTCTCACTGCCAGAAATGGAATATCTACCATCAGATTGACATATTAACCATTTCCTCTCATCAATCATCAAATAACGATTGTGGAACCATTTGAAAATATCAACAATCTAACTACTAATATGTAAATGACTCCCCGATATCCCAAAGCAGGTAGACGGTTCCTCTTTTTGGCAGTGTCTTGTCTCCTCCGTAGACTAAGTGTGTTGTGTCCGGTTCAGGTGGGTCAGAACTTCATCCCGTCTTCAGTGCCCAGTACGTTTGCCCCCTCTCCCACTCCTGCTCCTCCAGCCACCTCCAGCGGCCTCAACGACCTGTTCGAGCTCTCCTCCAGCATGGCCATCACCACGGGCGGATACGTGCCTCCTAAAGCCGTAAGTCGTGACCCTGTTTGGTGCTTTATGCTTGGGGACATGTGGATGTGCCGCAAGCTAACATGGTTTCAAAATGCAAAATAAAAAACATGTAAAATATCCATGCATCCAAAAAAAAGCAACTACATTTTTCCCCAAAGGAGAAGATTATTAGGAATCTCCTTCACACATAATGTTTACGATGTATTCCTAGTTTTTTGTCCAAATTCACCAGACCGTATAGATTTGTTTTGTTTAACTATATGATGTTGTAAAAACCCTTTCTTTGAGACCATGTTTAGGGTAGTACGTTATATTAATGATACACAATTTGAGTGACTGTACCCAACTTTCTGGACTTGTAAAATCATCTGGAACATGATCCATAGTTGCATAAGTTCTATCTATATCTTGACGGAACAATGTAGATATTTTTTGTTGAGGGAACTTTAAGGGGCTTTGTAACAATATAGGAACAATTAGAATTGTGGCTCTGTAGGGACTGACTTCCACATGGTCTGGGGGTATTCTGTCCGTCCTCTTGTCATGCCTGGTCCATTCACTCGCTGTCTCGTTGACAGTGGGGTATGACTTTTATTGCAGTAATGTAATTTTTGCAGTAATGTAATTTTTGAATATTTATAGACTCCTCCATTCATTATTCCTTCCCATCTGCTGGTGGATAATGTATTTTGTTCACTTCTCAGTAACTAACGTGGATTTAGTGTTGGGCAGCGTAAGAAAAAGCATCCGAAACAAAAATCCTGTCATTTGTTGTGCATCTGGTGCAGGTGTGGCTGCCTGCAGTGAAGGCCAAAGGGCTGGAGATCTCTGGGACCTTCTCGCGTCGACAGGGCCACATGTACATGGACATGGCCTTCACCAACAAGGCCCTGCAGCACATGACCGACTTCGCCGTCCAGTTCAACAAGAACAGGTCAGAGCACAACACAAATACTTCGCTATAACACACATTTTAAATACTTTCTCATCGTACCCTGTCTTTACCCGTTTTTCTCAGTTTTGGGATGATTCCGACCAGTCCTCTCCCCATCCACACTCCCCTGATGCCCAACCAGAACATCGAAGCCTCTCTGCCCATCAACACCGTCGGGCCGGTCATGAAGATGGACCCCCTGAACAACCTGCAGGTACCACAGCATGTTCTGATGGTCCTGATGGTTCTGCTGGTCCTGATAGTTCTTCTGATGGTCCTGATAGTTCTTCTGATGGTTTTGATGGTTCTTCTGATGGTCTTGATGGTCTTGATGGTCCTGATGTTTCTGATGGTCTTGATGGTTTTGATGGTTCTTCGATGGTCCTGATGGTTCTTCTGATGGTCCTGATTGTTCTTCGATGGTCCTGATGGTTCTGATAGTTCTTCTGATGGTTCTGATGGTCCTGATAGTTCTTCTGATGGTCCTGATGGTTCTGATGGTTCTGATAGTTCTTCTGATGGTTCTGATGGTCCTGATAGTTCTTCTGATGGTCCTGATGGTTCTTCTGATGGTCCTGGTGGTTCTTCTGATGGTCTTGATGGTTTTGATGGTTCTTCGATGGTCCTGATGGTTCTTCTGATGGTCCTGATGGTTCTTCTGATGGTCCTGATGGTTCTTCTGATGGTCCTGATGGTTCTGATGGTCCTGATGGTTCTTCTGATGGTCCTGATGGTTCTGATAGTTCTTCTGATGGTCCAGATGGTTCTGATGGTCCTGATGGTTCTTCTGATGGCCCTGATGGTTCTGATAGTTCTTCTGATGGTCCAGATGGTTCTTCTGATGGTCCTGATGGTTCTGATAGTTCTGATGGTTCAGATGGTTCTTCTGATGGTCCAGATGGTTCTTCTGATGGTTCTGATGCTCCTCTCACCTGATTGGTCCTGTTCTCTTGTGCTTCTGTAGGTGGCTGTGAAAAACAACATTGACGTCTTCTACTTCAGTGTGCTCATCCCTCTGAACATATTCTTTGTAGAGGATGGGAAAATGGGTACGTAGTATTCAAGTTTTTAAATGAGCTTTCACAATATTTAGTTTTTCCCTTGGGGCTGTGTGTGAATGCAGCTTCGTAAATACTTTTTATTACCGAAGTTACATTTTTAACAATCCATCGTAATCCTACACATCTCCCTAAACAATTTCTTTTAGATTGCTCTTTGGAACCTTAAATCTTTGGTGCCGTGTAGGAAGAGTTTTATACTTTCATTTGAATATATGCAACAATGTCAGCTCTGGTGAGGCCTGCAGCATTTCAGACAGAGAGCATGTGCAAATAAATTAATACATATATTAGTTATCCTCTGAGTGAAAATTCAAGTTCCCATCAGTACATTACAGGCAAAGAAAGAAAAAAAACACTTTGAAATGATTTGAACCACTCCTGAGTTATTTTATTTTATGCACACAGAAAGGGAGAGACAAAACACCGTTAGACACAATTTACAAGATTTCTAAATTAATTAAAGGGTTTTTCTTTTGTTTTTTATCAGAAATTGGCAACTTTTCTGAACTATTATGTTTGTGTTTCCAGAGCGACAGGTGTTCCTGGCCACTTGGAAAGACATCCCCAATGAGAACGAGCTGCAGTACCAGATAAAGGAATGCCATCTAAACGCAGGTGTGAATGAGTGTATTTGTGAAACGTGTGAATTTATTTATACAAACTTAACATGTGTTTGGATTCTGCATTCTGATTTTGTCTCTAGGACGAGTCTGTTCTTTTGGACTGGTCTCCTAAAGCCCACCCAGGTTTTTGAGCTTGTAGCTGACATTAGCTGTTGCTTGATCCAAATAGAGACAGTATTAGTGTGGACAGACTGTATTGTTATTCCTCTCCTTGTTGACCCTTCTCTGAGTGGTCTAGACTTTAAACAGTAGACTTGTAAATAGCAGAGTCAGACTTTGAGTAAAGGGGGATTTTTGTGTGAACTGCTGAGGCAAACAGACAAACTAATACTATTATCAAATGCATTTATGTATTTAGAATGAGGAAGTGTATTTTAATAAACATTTACATTGGCTGGTAAAGTTTGTGCATTGGCTGCAAACCGTAGCTGTGCAGTGTTTAGTGAATTTTAAACAAGACTGTTTCTGATGGGACAAACTAAAAGGAAGTGAGCAACTCCTTCTAAATCTAAAGAGCTCTGAAGAAAATGACACAGGGGTCTGGGTCGGGTACAAGCACAGAAGACATTTTATTGATGTTACAAAGAACTGCTTTGTGGATGTGGTATTATACCATGGAGGACTTGTAGACAGTCCAATCAGCAGCTGCCACTGTGCCAGTAGCTTCGGCCTTCAGATAACCAAAACATAAAGTAGAAAATCCCCAGCTCCTGCATAGTGTTATTAGAATGATGAGTGCAACTTTAACCACAGTTGCTTCAAAGTGTCCTTTGAGATCCAAAGCTCCTCTTAGTTTATCCCAATACCAACTGTTGCATCGTTGGGTCCTCTCATCTGATCTGTCTGTATCCTCTTAGTTTATCCCGATACCAACTGTTACCCGATACCATCTGACTTGTCTGTATCCTCTGTAGACACCGTGTCGGGCAAGCTCCAGAACAACAACATTTACACCATCGCCAAGAGGAACGTGGAGGGCCAGGACATGCTCTACCAGTCTCTCAAACTCACCAACGGCATCTGGATCCTGGCTGAGCTGCGCATCCAACCTGGCAACCCCAACTACACGGTGCACACTTCTTATTGGATTCTATGCTTACACCAATATCAACCAGAATCTACCAAAACCACAGATATTGATTTAAAAACAATGAAATAAATTAAACATGTTTAGTCTTAATTTAATGTGATTTTTAATCAATTTCTTTGAGTAATTATTTTTAAGCTATCTGCACTGAAATGTTTCTTTCGGTGCATTTGGTGAAGTTTTAGATGCACACAAGGAAAATTGTGTTTTTCTATGTAGTTCTCTGCTCTGGTCACTAGTTTTCAAATGCTAATATTTTTGGCCTGTCGCATTCTTAAGATCAGCTTTTCCGTACAGAAAAGTGAAAAAGAGAGGACCAACCTCACTCAGCCAATCAGCTCTCAGCCCAAAGCATCAAAGAGTGACTCCCAGGGCTCTTTCTTACACGTATGCAAAAGATAACACGATTTCTAATGAGATGAAGATGGCATGTTGTGACTCTCTCTGGGACAAAGAAATGCTAAATTTATAAAACATCGAAAAATGTTGGTACCCCAGCTTTAAGCCCTCTACTTCCGGCAATAACAACAACACATTTATGAAGACTAGAGCGCTTTACTGTACTTTTCCTTTTTCTAACCACGTTGTGTCTTGTCCACAGCTGTCCCTGAAGTGCCGCGCCCCGGAGGTCTCCCAATACATCTACCAAATGTACGACTCCATCCTCAAGAACTAACAAAACATGTGTCTTTATCCATACAGCACCTATTCTAACCTTTCAGCTAAGTCTATGCTAGCAGAGATGACAATACGCTCCTATACACTCCTCACTTATATCCATTCCATAAATTCTCGTCTTAATGTTGATAATAATAATGCAGGTGGGGGTGTTTCTCTTCCCGTGCTTTTTCATAACTGTCCCCAAAAAAGGCCACGACAACACGCTTCCTAATGAAATCCACAGACATAATCGTTCCTATTTATTTGTCAATCTACCTCCTTTGTTTTTCCTTTTTTTATGCTGCCGTTACGTTTGATCTTTTTTCACAAGTAACCACTCAAATGTTGCCACTTATAATCGGAACATGAACGCTGTCGTATGGTGCTATTGGTCGACCCTAGTGCAGTCTGTTGGTGATGTGACGTGCCTCAGATGAACCCCATGTCCTCTTCACTTTATGCTAATACATTTTAAGCCTCCAATTATAACAATAATCCTTATGTAAATACCAATAGCAACAGTAGTATTTTTGTTAGGAGTTCTTAAAGTGTTTTAATGCCAAAAGTATGGATGGATGGTCCTAGAAAATATATGTGCACTCCCTCTGTGATGAATTGTATCTGTTTCTGTGCATCAATAAAATTGATATTTGTCAAAATGTGTTCTGGAGTTGTTTCTTTTGAAAACCTAAAAAGCGTTTCTATGCAACTGGATCCGAACAGCTTGATCCGGTGCATGGTCTGCTCTGGTCTGGCTTGGTATCGTTCAACTTTTCTGGGTTAGTTTTGGCTTTACTCTGAAGATCGACCAAACTGTAGATTAGTTTTGGATTGTTGCTTTAGACTAGACTTGCTTTGCTAATGAAAAAGTGTTTTGTGCTGTGAGATGTGTCCTTACCCTGTCAGAGACCATAGACTCAAAATGCTTGAATAATACAATTGACGAGCCCCCTTGCTATGGCCGAATGTAGAATGATCCGAGGCAAACAAGTGTCTTGGTGCGATTTATTTTAAGTAATTAAAGACATACAGTACATGACAATTGCATAATAAGTGAATCCAAGCTGGGGAGAAGAGCTCAACCAAACTTCCAAGGAAAAAAAACTTTTCTGCGTCAAAACAAAGCCACAGTTTGCAATTTCCTGGTTAGGGAGGATAATGAGAGAGGCCTGTTTTTATCTAATTTATGAGCCCTCAAACACACCTGTTTTTTTTTTATCAGGGAAATGGTGCCAGTAGGTCTGGATGAACACAAAGACTGTTGAGTTTGAGTCCAGTATTTTTCCAGTTTCTTAAGTTATTAATACAATTAATAGATATTTTATACCACACCCTATCTTAGATAAAATATGCCTTTTATTTAATTTGATCTACAAAATGAAACCCAAAATCAGTGATATTAAATACAAGTGTGTATTATTTATAGAAAAGAACTGGAGCTCTGTAAACAATCAGATTTTTGAGGTGATGTTTAATCATTTAGTTGAAATTAAGGCTTTCAAACAATCGCAGAGGGATTCATGCAGAAGAAGTGTTATCCATTATTGTGCAACAAACAGACCTATGATGACAGCTTCTGTTTCCAGACAGTTAAAATCCAATTCCAGTAGTTAGATTATCAGACAGAACACACACTTAACGGATTCACGTAACCACCAAATAACCAAAATAATAAATTATATCGTCAGAAGTCTGAATTTATCAAAGCATTTACAGTTAGTTTTGCAAAAAAGCATTATTCAGTATTTAGCTGCTAAACAGACCATTCTCCTTCTATCTAAGATGACACAAAAAACGTTTTCCAAACCAATTATTTACATCAAGCAACTTTTAAAGGTAAAACTGATTTTTAATAGTGTTGTCTAATTCCAACACAATTGTGGCATTAGACAAAAGAAACCCCAACTTGTGCAGTTGGACAGAGGTTCCCAAACCTTGGGACCCCAATTATCAGTCACTCCATAATATTGAACTTTTGATTCATCAAAACACGTTAGTTGGTTGTTTAAGTTATGTATTGTGAGCTGATATATTGAATTGAATTCCATAATAACTAAATAATATAAAAACCATCCTGTGACCCCCCCATGGTCCTGCAACCCCCATTTTGGGAGCTACTAAGTTTGGAGACAAGGCAAGGTTCATTTCTTTCTTGCAGAACCCAAACTCAAAAATGTGTCCATGTGGAGGATGTTTTCTTGTTCCTTTAGCTGTAATTATCCACAATATGACATGAAATTCGATTTTAAAAGTTTCATAGTGTGGTTTTAATTTCAGTTTCAGCTCTCGAGACCGCTGTCCCAATCCTAATACTGTATATACTACAGTACACTCAGGGATTCACATCATAGCATCAAAACAAAGCGCTATGTACATACTATACAATGACATAACAAAAAAGTCAAACGTTAGAATGGCACACGTGTTAATCCTTCACAGTAAAAAGAAAGGAATAAATGATCACATTTTCGATCCATGTGTCAAACTTGTACAGGTGTTAGATTGAAATGAACAACGCGTGAGGATGATTGTCCAAAGTCTCTAAGGAACGTTTTCTCAAATCTCAGTCGTTCCTCTGCAATCACGTTCTTATAATACAAGGACAGAGAAAAAGTACTCCCCTCAAGAATAAAATCCAACACAGGGCCGGAACCTGGGATAGAGGAACCAAGCAAGTGATTGGGCCGTTCTGGTAGAAGCCATGTTTGAACTGTGTGGCTAAGCTTACAACAAGCTTCTGTCTGCTCTACAGAGATCACCCATGACTTATAATTATTATTTATTTAGTACCAATGATCTAATACAGTGTTGTAAACGTGCGCATGTTGTGGGGGTGTTTCTTGTTTATTGTAAAGATTTGAACAGCAACTATGGTCTTCACGGTGAAACAATTTGGCAATTAGAAAGTAGAACCTTGTTGATTACTGTGGTGCAGATGTTCAAATCAGTCAACATTGAACTGGAAACCCTGGCTTGGTCCACACTGGACAGGTCTTCACGTGCCATCATGTGCCATCATGTGCCATCATGTGCCATCACGTGACCGTGGCTACTGTTCACCATATAAATGTGTGTATTTGTCATGTATTGTACGTTGTTATGCTCCCTGCTACTTTCCTCAACTCCAGTTTGCAAAGAGAGGTGTGGTGGCATTCTTGAAGCAGTGGCTAACATGGTTCAAAAGGACTGATTGAAGAGGGATGTGTTGCTATGTGAAAGCAATGGGAATAGTTTACAGAGGCGCTGCTGATTCCAACAGTGTATTATATGTTGGAATGGTTTTTAGTTGTTCCAGGGTGTGTCCAGGATCATTGAATAAGAGGGCAGTCACCTTCAGAGACTTTTAAAATATGCTTAGCATTTTTTCACTGGAAATGAGAAAAAAACATGCTACTAGATTTAGACAAAGCCACTGAACCAGCCCTGAGTCCTTGTGAATCCATTATCCCCTTGTCTGCAGCTGGGAGGGTTAGCTGCACTTGAGGATGGAGCGCGGTGCTGCCGGGCTGACGGGGCTGACCAGGCTGACCGGGGCGCTCTGACGCGGTGGGTAAGGGCTGTAGTGCGGAGGCTCACCGTTCACTGAATTATCCGTGGAAACCTGAGAATTAAAGAGAAACATATTTCAACAGCGCTCTGGAGTGAAGTGAAGTACCAGTTCACAAGAGAAGATGGGAGAATGTGTTACTTCCACTCAAAAAAGCTCCGTCTGGTCCCGGAATTGGCCCCTAGGAATATATATAAACATTATAAGGAAGTAATGATCATTAATTAGACGTGTATAGTTTTTGTTGCTTCATTGTCTTTTTTGTTAGATACAGTTGTGTAAATACCAAAGTAGATAGCACCTTCTGATAATAATAATGTTTTTTTCACACTCATGATTAGTGGTTGGGTGAAGCTATCTCGTCGAGGCTGGTCACTTTCAGTACTTTTCAAACTTGAACCACACTGTAAACCTTTCATCTCAGCCTTCTTGGATCTTCTGCTGGCATTATGTGTGCAGTACAAAAGAAAGAAAAAAGTTTTGTCAATGCCTAAATCTTACCACCACTGATACAATTGTTGTGGTGGTGGCTGGATGAAAGCATCAGTTCTGCCAAGGCATTTTCAGTTATATTTTTATTCTTCTCTCAAATACCTTGTGTTGTAGCACGTAGAGCGATGTTACTCCCGGCTTCTTGGTGCTCTGTGGTCTTTTTGGAGATAATTCACCTGTGCCAAAGAAACAGCATTCAAATGTCTATGTGTTAAAATTCTGCTGTTTGGGTCATTACTCATTGTACCTGTATGGTTGACCGGACAGTCTGAGTAGTCATATGACTTGTCCAAAGGCTTTCTGGACGGCTTTTTTTGCCTGGGACAATAAGACAATTGATCATTCCACAATATTTCAACAATACAACTGTGTGCGGCAAATCAAAAGACTCTCTCACTGAGTAGAATATAGTGTTTGTGAAGAAAAGTCTGAGAATATATTGAAATTGAACAGTGTGGAGAGTAATAAAGGTTCTCTTCTCTTATCTCATTATATTGAATATGGACAGTGGCCATCTGCCCCTCATGGACCAATGGCTCTATGTGTTTTCTTGTGTTTGATCAGTTTGAGTCTCTTATCTGTGTTGGCAAATTCAAAGGTTTTTAGGGCTAAACAAGAATACATTGAATTGAATTGAATTCAATTCAAAATCTTCTTCTTACTCACGTCAACATTCAAAGAAAAATGCTGGTAAGGTAAGCCGACTTGACCAAAAAGGCTCCATGTTAAAGCTGGAATACCTTATTTATAAACCACAAAAACTGGAACTCTGTTTTTGTCTGTATTTGATTTGTTTATGTGTGTTTGAGCAATTTCTAAAATAAAATAAAATAAAATAAAATATATTTAAAAAAGAACCAAACTAACTTGTTCCTTTGTTTTTGGCCTATGACTGGTGCTTTTGCTTCTAAGTGAAAACTCTAACATGAGACCATGGAGGAACTCCTGCTGTCATGTCCATATTTTGTGATTGTGATTGAGGGCATTTTGATAATAACCACTGACTTCTTCTCTGGGGGAGTCCAGCAGGCGCACACGGTCACCAGTGTGATGAGCAGGAACAGTCCTCCAGTGGACAGAATGATGTACAGAGAGCTTCTCCCTGGGAATAATACAAGAGCTGTATTTAACAATTTATAAAAAAAAAATATATTCAATAATATGTTTAATACACAGTGCCATGCAAAAACACAATCATTGTAGTTTTTACAAGATGTCACTGGTGATAAAAAGTTCTCCTTCTCTCACGCAAAACTTTCACCAGATTCACACCCATGGTGCATGTGTGTGTCGATGGGGGAAACTAGATCCTGGAGGAAGCTTACCCAGACCCAGAAAAACACGCAAACATATTATTCCAAACCCTGCGACTTATAATAGTAGTAGAAATGTGTTATCTTTATTTATATACCGCCTTTCACAGACCAGAGTCACAAAGCGGTTTACAATTGTGGGCATTTGTCTCCTCACTCTACACAGAGATGGGAGCGGGGCCAGTACAGGATGCCAGACCTATTGTACGTGTTTTTAGTGGTATGGGAATCTGGAGTTCCTGGAGGAAACCTACACAGACACAGGGAGAACACGCAAACTCCACACCGAAAGGCCCTGATCCGACCAGGATTCGAACTCAGGATCTTTTTGCTGAGAAGCGAGAGTGCTATGTTGCAGTTTATAGCAGAGTTTATAGACTTATAATTTGGACTGCATCAAGGATTAGTAGCACACACCTTCATTGTCAAATAATATGAGGTGAATGAGTCCCAGTATGGAGGCTAACGTAAGTTGATGGCTGCCTCCTAAGAGTTTATGGTAAGTAATAAGTAAGTAATCAAAGCATGAAAACCTGTGGCTTATATGTGGACAAAAATGTACTTTCTTTTCAAATGTAGCTGGTGTGGTTTAGGGTTAGGGTTAGGGTTAGGGCGCTATATACACTAGCGTTTAACAGTCCAGTAAGTACCATAAACAATCAAATCCATCTCGCTCTCAAAACCGTTCTGTCACCAGTTTACACATGCATATATTTTCTTTCATCTTTAGGTTTGACTGAGCTGATTTGAGAGTTTTTCAGACAGAAAAGTGAATAAATCCACAGCTTTAGAATGGATTAGGGTGTGATAGTGGCCTCTTGAGAAGCCCACTCACTGTAGACCGAGAGCCTGAATGGCGGGCTGGTCTGCCTGCCCACCGGGTTCTGCACCACACAGCTGTACACGTCGTCGTCGCTCATCAGCACGCGCTTGATAATCAGGTGCTTCTGGTCGTGTGACAGGCTGAGGCGCGTCTCATTGGCCAGTGTCTTGCCGCCCTTCAGCCACGTGTAGTTGGCCTTGGTGCCGTTGTTGTGGGAGCAGTTGAGCAGCACGTTCTCGGCCAGCTCCAGCACCGAGGAGGACTCTGTGAGAACCAGGGGCTTGGATATGACCTCTGTGGAAGAAATAAGAGTCAATAGGGGAGGTTTGATTTTTGCCAATCCATCTATCTGAATACTTCCAACGTTCATCACATCACATTCTCCCTTTCCAACATCATACCATGAGGACTAACACTGACCAACCTGACCTCACATGTCATGCATCTGTGCAATAATTTGAACTAATGTCAGAATGTGCAATATGAAACCACGTGTCCACTGTAACTTGTTATTTTAGTTTCGACTTATTGTTCATATATGTTGTGTGCTCCTCAAACTGTTCTGTAACCGGTGATGCAGCACTGAAATGTCCTCACTGTGGTATGGAGAAAGGATCTCTCAATCTTTATATTAATCTTTTTTACTGAAATGTATAAGTAAGTAAGTAATGTATATTTCTATATAGCACATCTTACAGACCAAGGTCACCCAAAGCGCTTTACAATGTTCGGAGTTCAGATATTGTTTCATTCTCTCCACATGCGGTGATGGCGGAAGCGAGTCGCCGAACACACTGGCGCATTAAAGCCCCAACCAACACCATCCATTCACTCACTCACCACATTCATATCTATTGTGTATTTTTAGTGGTAGGGGAAACCGGAGCACCTGGAGGAAACCTACGCAGACACAGGGAGAACATGTAAACTCCACTCAGAAAGGCCCTGTTCCGGCCGGGATTCAAACCCACAACACACAAAATTCTTCATTTTGGGCCCATTCGTTCAATCGATGACAAACTCATAGACACAAGGTCATCCCAGTGAAAAAAGTGTGGTTTTAAAGAAATACCGTCCACAGTGAGCGTCAGGCTGGCCTCCCCGGTGAACGTGTCGTCGGTGATGGAGATCTCCACGTGGTAGATCCCGTCGTCGGACAGGCGCAGGTTGTGCAGCAGCAGCGTGCCGTTCTCAAACACCAGGATGCGGTCCCTGTACTCTGGCCTCAGGGTCCCGATGATGTCAGTGCCTATGGACTGGACCACGGTGATGGGTTTCTCCTTCTGCAGGGTCCACTTGATGACAGGTGGGTCCAGGCTGAAGCTCTGGTAGCGCACGGACAGCAAGGCCTCTCCCCCCGTGGTGCAGCGGAGCAGGGCGGCCGGGACGGTCATGTTCACGGCACGGACACGACCTGAGGAGTCACACATCAGGGCTGAATGATTCTACGTCATGGTGCTACGTCCCTTAGGACTTCGCTAGTGGGATATCACGTGACCCCCAGGTCACAGACGCCAGAGAGATCAAAATAATTTGCTCCAATCACCAGCCACCTTCCTCTATAAATGCCCCTGCACAAGGCCGCACCCCCTCTTTCACTCTGGCGCCGTTTGAGATCTACATTCGTTACCTGAGAAAGAAAGATGTCTTCTGATGCACGTCCGAGTTCCCCTTCGCCATCCGGCGTCGGACGTCGTCGTTGCTCGACCTGTCGGGGCAAGCTCCAACGCAAGGACCAGCACTCCAGCTGCTTCATGTGCCTGGGTGCGGGCCATGCGGCGTTGAGCGCCACCTGCGCCTCGTGTGTCGCTCTCCCCAGGGAGGAGAGTGAACGCAGGCGCGCGTTCTTCGCCGCTACAGCGCCCCGTCCGGACTCCTCTAAGGACGAGGAGTCTGAGATTGACTGGGCCCCCCTCGACATTCCACCTGTGCCCGCGGAGTGGGGTGACTGCGAGGACGGAGAGGTGTCGGAGGTCGGCTCTCTCCTCACGCTGGACGAGGTGGTGTCCAACCCGGAGCCGGACCGCTTCCCGCTGGACCACATGCCTGGGCTCTACGCCACGGCGGCGGCCATCATGGATGCCCCCCTGCCACCGCAACCGAACCAGAGGGTGGAGGACTTCACCTCTGGGTACGCAGCCCCTCGAGGGAGGAGGAGAGCCCAGCCCACGTTGTGCCCGCGTATGGACCCGATCGTCCATTACGCGACACGTGAGTGGCCAAAACCCCTAGCGGCCAAGAGGCCCGCTTTGGGGTATGGCATGTACTGCAACGTGCAGGACTGGTCCTGGACAGGCGGGGTCCCGGACATCGAGGACTCGGTTCGGGCGGCCCTGCACCCCTCCTCATCCGTGTGGCCCAGCACCAGACCTCTCCTTCCCTCCGAGCGGGATAGGATGTCTCTGGCTATGCATGACAGATGTTACGCCAATGCGGCTCAGGTCGTCGCGGTGGCGAACAACATGGCTTTCATCACCGGGGCCCTGGATAGGTCTCTCTCCTCTGACCAGGCACTCAGTGGAGACACCTTAGCCCAGGCGAGGACCACTTCAGCAGCGATCTTGCGCATGTGCCAAGCGCTAGCTGTCGATGGCGGCCGCTCTATGGCAGCAGCCCAGGTCGGGGCCAGACACCTCTGGCTGGGGGCGGTGAACCTCAGAGAGGCGGAGAAGAGGCAGCTGCTGGACCTGCCCATCTCCCAGACGTCGCTCTTCGGTCCGGAGATGCAGACGCTGATGACGAGGCTGGACAGCGCGGCTAAGGACTCGGCTAGCCTAGCAAAACACCTAGCTACGAGACGCGAGGCCCGCCCACCAGCGCGGAGCCGAGACAGAGGCAGGGAGCGCTCGCCTGGCAAGCGCCCCGGACCATATCCACGCTCCGTGGTCCATCGTTCCCCAGCGGCGAGACCCCCGGGCCCAGACAGGCACACGGGAGGTTCGCGGGACCAACACACCCATCGACGGCCTCCCTACGGTAGAGGAGGTCGGGGTGGTAAAAACTCTTTCAATAAAGGCCGTCCGGCATTTCACCAGTACTCGCTGTCTGAGTCTCATTTGGGGGTATGTAACATGTCAAATGATTTGAATTCTGTTTGTGTTACTTCTCGAGCATATAACGTGGCTCCGCCAGGCCTGCAGCCCCCAGAGAAGGGCGTGCAGCGCGCTGTGCAGACCACGAGCTCCGATTCACGGGTTCATGTTTTGCCCTCCCGGAGAGAGGGCAGGCGGAGGGATCTGATAAGTGCTAATGTGTGTGCTCCGGGCGCTAGCGTGTTAGCATCTCTGAGCTACAAGGCTAACACGGGGTTTCCCAATCCAGGGGCTCTCCCCCCCCTCCATGAGGCAAGAGCCAAGGGGGGGCGCAGCAGCCGTGTCACGCGTGATGAGCAGAGCTACATTGCTAACACGGGGTTTCCTAATCCAGGGGCTCTTCCCCCCCTCCATGAGGCAAGAGCCAAGGGGGGGCGCAGCAGCCGTGTCACGCGTGATGAGCAGAGCTACAATGCTAACACGGGGTTTCCCGATGCAGGGGCTCGCCCCCCCCTCCATGAGGCAAGAGCCAGGGGGGGGCGCAGCAGCAGCCGGGTCACGTGTGGTGAGCAGTCCCGTACTTATGACGTCGGACCTGCAGAACACGTGACCGCCCTCGGCGCTCACGGTGTGACGCAGGGGCCCCCCCGGCCCTTTCAGCCACCCCCCCTCCCTGCTAGGAACACCAGGAGGGGGCGGGGCCATGACGTCCCGTGTTCCAGCTCCCGTTCCGCCCCTCACAGATTTCTACGACATCTGGAAGGAGCAGGGCTTACTGTCAGATGTTTGGCTGGAGAAAACTCTGCGCAGAGGTTACGCTCTGCAATTTTTCCGAAAGCCACCACCATTCCGAGGCGTACGGGCAGTACGCTCTCAGGTACGGGGATCGACAGAGGCACTGGAAGCAGAGGTCTCCTCCCTGCTGAGTCGAGGCGCAGCAGTGGAGGTAGACCCGCAGGACGCCACCAGGGGGCTGTACTCCCCTTACTTTCTGGTGCCAAAGAAATCAGGCGGGGTGCGTCCCATTCTGGATCTGCGCGTGTTAAACGAGTGCATTTCCAAACGGCAGTTTCGGATGCTGTCCACAAGGCAGCTCCTCGAGTGTGTCAGGGAAGGAGACTGGATGACATCCATAGACCTGACAGACGCATACTTCCACGTACCCATAGTGCCAGAACACAGGAGATTTCTGCGCTTCGCAGTGGGAGAGAGGAATTACGAGTACTGCCGTCTCCCTTTCGGGTACGCTCTCGCGCCTCGCACTTTTTCCAAATGTGTGGAAGCGGCTCTGGAGCCGATCAGACGTGCCGGGGTAAGAATATTGACCTATATAGACGATTGGTTAATACTGGCCCCATCCAGGGAAGTGGCCGTGAGCCACACGCAATGGGTCTTGTCCCACATACAGCGTCTGGGCTTTGTGGTGAACAGGGAGAAGAGCAAGCTGCAGCCAGCCCAACGCATGATTTACCTCGGTCTGCAGCTAGACTCTGTGATATTCCGTGCTGCATTGTCCGTGGACAGACGGACGAATATTACCCGTCTGGCCCGGGAGGTTCTGGCGGGCCCCAGAGTTCCCGCTCGGCGCCTCAGGTCCCTGCTGGGGATGATGGCAGCGGCTCATGCTGTGGTGCGGCTAGGCCTGCTCCACATGAGAAATTTTCAGAGGTGGTTCTCGCGCCTCAGGCTTCACCCCTCCCGGGACGGGGGGAGGCTGATCTGGGTTCCCCAAGGGGCAGCATCGGACATCAGGTTCTGGCTCACTCCGGGTCTACTGCGGGACGGAGTGACTCTGGCCTGCGCTGTGTCTCACGCCGAGGTGTTCACGGACGCGTCGCTCGAAGGATGGGGCGGGGTCCTCGGCCAGAGCTCTGTAGGAGGCTGCTGGTCGGACTCAGCCCGTCACATCAACCTGCTGGAGATGGAGGCAGTGCACAGAGTACTGCTGCACTTTGCCCCTCAGCTGCAGGGGAGACACGTGATGGTGCGCTCAGACAACACCACAGTGGTCTCCTATCTGAACAGGCAGGGGGGCACCAGGTCCCCCGCTCTCCATCGCATGGCGACGGTGACGCTGCTGTGGGCGGCGCTTCACCTCCTGTCTCTCAGGGCGCGCCACGTCCCGGGGGTCCGGAACGTGGGAGCCGACAGGATGTCCAGGGGGGGCCCACTCCAGGACGAGTGGGGCCTGGCCCCACGGGTAGCCGCGGAGATCTGGCGGAGGTTCGGTCGTCCAGTAGTCGACCTTTTCGCCAGTGCAGAGAACGCACAGTGCCCGTCCTGGTTCGCCTTAAGGGCCGCGGACGAGCCGCCTTTAGGCGTGGACGCTCTGGCTCATTACCCATGGCCAGGCGGCCTGTTGTACGCTTTTCCACCGGTGCGTCTCCTGCCGGTCCTACTGCGGAGGATCGAACAGGAGAGGAGGTCGGTGATTCTGGTGGCTCCGGACAGCCCGCATGCCCGGTGGTTCCCCTTCCTGAGGGGCATGGCGGTGATGGAGCCCTGGGCCCTCCCGGACGAGCCGGGGGCTCTAGTCCAGGGGGCAGGAGCCCTGTTTTCACGTCCGATAATCGGCCGCAGGCTCTGGGTTTGGAGGTTGAGAGGCGGAGCCTCGTAGATCTGGGTCTTCCCCCTGCGGTGGTGGAGACAATTCAGGGAGCGAGGGCGCCGTCCACCGTGAGGGCCTACGCCACGAGGTGGAGGCTATTCAGTGCCTGGTGCGATTCCCGTTCCTGGGATCCCAGGTTTTGCCCGCTGGAGGGGGTCCTGGGATTCCTACAGGAGCTTTTCGACAAGGGGAGGGCTGTCGCTACCTTGGCGGTGTTTGCGGCAGCCATTACTTCAGGTCACGACGGGTTCGGGGGGTTCACAGCCCGCTCTCACCCGTTGATTAAACGTTTTCTGCGGGGGCGCGCAGGAGGAGGCCCCCGCTCCAGAGAACGCCTCCGGTTTGGGACCTCAGGGTGGTCCTTAGGGGGCTGTCGGGTTCGCCTTTTGAACCGGCGGCGGAGGCGAGTCCCGATTGTATCGCTTTTAAGACGGCCCTCTTGCTGGCGTTGGCGTCTGCAAAAAGGGCGGGCGATTTGTGTGCGCTCTCAGTCCATGCGTCGTGCCTGTCCTTTGGAGAGGACGACGGCATGGTGGAGTTGTGGCCCAATCCGGCTTTTTCTCCCCAAGGTCATCACGTCGGCCTTTAGGTCGAGAGTGATCAGGATTAGGGCTTTCCACCCGCCGCCGCATGCCTCCCTCGAGGAGGAGCGGCAGCACCTTCTGTGTCCTATCAGAATGCTGAGGCATTACCTGGCCATGACGTCGTCATTCAGGTCGGGTGATCAGCTGTTTGTGTGTCTGGGCCCCAAGAACAGGGGCGCCCCGCTGTCGGCTCAGCGGCTGGCGCATTGGGTCGCCACGGCGGTGCGACGGGCGTATCAGGCGCAGGGCCTGGCCCCCCCGGTGGGTTTCAGGTCGCATTCCACGCGTGGGATGGCGGCCTCTACGGCCCTTCTCAGGGGGGCGTCGGTCGAGGACGTTTGCCGTGCGGCTTCTTGGGCGTCGTCCTCCTCTTTCGTCCGGTCTTATCTTTCGGATGTGTCGGACCGGTCGGTGGCCCATTCCGTGCTGAGTGCAGCGGATTGAGTTGGACCGTTGGGTCCCTCCCCTGAGGAGTGGGCCTTCGGTCTATTTTTCCGCCCTGGTGCAGGAGCTCTTGGGAGAGGCATCCTACAGGTGCGGTACATATATGTGTGTTTGATCGGTCTGGTAGTCTACATCAGGAGCTCTTGGGAGAGGCGTCCTGTGACTACGGTTGACCTACGATTGGTGTTACGTGGGGGCGTCCTTGGTAGGAGTGGCCCGGTAACACGCTTTGTTTCTTCTGCCCTGAGTCCTCTCACGGTGTGAGGGTCTTGCTCGGGCGGAGCTCCAATCACCCTTCGCTGGCCTGCTGGGAGTACATGTTCCTACGGCCTCCGCGTTGTGTCCCACTAGCGAAGTCCTAAGGGACGTAGCACCATGACGTAGAATTAATAGTTACCTAATGTAACTTAAGTTCTACGAATAGGTGCGTAGTCCCTTAGCTACGAGCCCATCAGGCCAGCCCGGCTTGGCAGAGTTCAAGAGGGGGTGCGGCCTTGTGCAGGGGCATTTATAGAGGAAGGTGGCTGGTGATTGGAGCAAATTATTTTGATCTCTCTGGCGTCTGTGACCTGGGGGTCACGTGATATCCCACTAGCGAAGTCCTAAGGGACTACGCACCTATTCGTAGAACTTAAGTTACATTAGGTAACTATTAATTATACTTGTCGCGTTGTAAACACGTTTATACTTGTTTTTTGTTTTTTTCAGGATTTTTTTTATTTATTAATTTTCCAGAATTAGACAAGAGGCTATTTTTCAGAATCAGAATCAGAATCATTTTTATTGCCACGTAAGTAACAGGAGGTCACAGACTAGGAAATTGCTTTGGCTCAGTGCAACAGTCAAAAAGAGATAATAAAAATAAGAATAAAAAACACTTCTAAAGAATAAATTTAAATTTAAAATAGAGTTACAGTTACTATTTACAATATACAAGTGCACATGGTGCACACAATGTAAGGTGAACAGCAGTACAGTGAAGTAAAGTGACCCCTAACAGATAAAAATAAGATTAAAGCTACACATATATAAATAAGACATGCAATATATATAACAGATAAAGGGGCTGTCAGACTGGGGCAGATACTTTCAGTCAGACTAGATCCTTCGGATCACACCACTGTTCACGCTGAATTCATCACTTCTTAATCACTTGTCATCACATGTCTGAGTGGTTAGCGCTCTCATTTCTTAGCTTAAAGACCCTATGTTCGACTCCCTTTTGCAGTCAGATTGTGACAAGGCAAGACACTTGACAGAATTAGGGCCTAGGCTTTGCTTTGTGTTTCAAATAAATATTACAAGCCCTTTTTCATACAGCTCTTCCTCTTCCTGCTGAGTGATGACATACTGTGATGCCAAAATAGCAAAAGAGCATGCAAGTATACAAAGTAGAAGACTAAGAATACAATTCTCTGATAGGACCCTGTAACAGAATACATTACCAAAATAAAATAAAGATGATGTTAAGTAATAATCAGTATTCTGTAGCTAAATACATTTTCAAAACATTCTCCCCAAAACTGGCCTCATCACACAGGACAGGGATTCTGCACAGTCACTCAACGTCAGCATTTTAAATTCTACAGTGAATGGCCAAATTGTTCAAGTAACAGGGCAGACTGGCATCTAGACACAGATAAGAAAATAAGAAAAACAGTTTCCATAGTAAAGAACTTGGGATGAATGGGAAACATATCAAAGCTGTTTTAAACCAATACTTTTGTTTTCAAAGGCAGAAAACAGTAAGTAAGTAAGTAAGTTTTTATTTATATACCGCCTTTTCACTGCAGATCTGAGTCTCAAAGCGGTTTACAATTGTTAATTTTGGGCATTTGTCTCTCACTCCACACAGAGATGGGAGCGGGGTCGCCAGTACAGGAGGCGCATGCCAGAACTATTGGACATATTTTTAGTGGTAGGGGAAACCGGAGTACCCGGAGGAAACCTACGCAGACACGGGGAGAACATGCAAACTCCACTCAGAAAGGCCCTGGTCCGACCGGGATTCGAACCCAGGACCTTCTTGCTGAGAGGCGAGAGTGCTATCCACTCAGCCACCGTGCCGCTTTGTCAGCTTTGTCCACAGCTTTGTCCATGATCTCATACTAGTCTGTAAGAACAGCAAACAGAAAGTGTCCTGCAGCCATGTGTGCCCCCCTCAAACATTTCTCCACAAATTTACACATTTTACACAAGGGGCGACAGTGGCTCAGTTAGAACATTGGCCTTTGAGCCTGAAGGTCGTGGGTTTGAGCCCACTGTGAGACTTTCTCCATAGTCGTTGTGTCCTTGGGGAAGACACTTAATCCTACTTTGACTATTTGTGGCAATACTTGCATGCAAAAGCTACATCCCTCTCAGACCTCTGAAGCTGTGCAAGGCAGGGCCTGGTTAGACCTCTGGGAACACCAGCCACAGTGGGGCGGCAGTAAAGTGCCAAACTGTCGTTTCCTTAGGCATGACACTTCACCCACATTGCCTAGAATGAGTCTGGTGTGTGTGAATGGTTGGTGGTGGTCGGAGGGGCTGATGGCACATACTGGTTGCCTCGCTTCTTTCATTGTGCCCCAAGGCAGCTGTCGCTGCTGTAATAGTTTATCACCACCGTGCATGGAGTGAATGAATAATTACATCTTTGAGTGTCCAAAAAAGCACTATATAAAACCAATGCTTTACTATTATAATCATCATTATTATGTCACAAACATGACTTTTTCATTTTTTGTATGAGGCAGGTAGACCGCCCGTTTCACCCAATAGCCAGTCCAGCCCTGGACACCAGCCATATTAGCTCTTTTTTTATATTTATATAGTATTTAGCCCGTAAGCAGAATTTGGAGTTTGATCTATTTTAGTGCAGATATGTTTTCCAAAACGTATCTAGAAAGCCAAACTAGAGGAGCTCAGCTTTACAAAGAGTCCAGCCACTTAAAACAGATGCAATACGTTTGTTTGTGATCATATGGGGATGGATACATTTTTCTTTCTCATAAGGTTGAGGGTAATTTATGTTGTATGCTAAAACCAACACATTTGCAGGAAGACTGTCCATAATTCCTATCAAAGAGCGTGAGTGGATCTCTGAGCGTGGGACACACATTCTTCTATTACTGAGCTGTTACTGTAAGAATGACATAACCATGGTAACAGCTGCAAGCCGTGCCAAAGCTAGTGCTCAAAGCTGTTTTCGGTTCCACTTCGGTAACAGGATTTACAAAGATCTTTTTTATTGTCGTGATTTCAGAGTCAATGTAAATAGCGGGATACGTATTTACAGTCTTTACACAGAAATATCCGCACGTCCCCATGACTATTGGTACTTAAAGCTGGGGTGCCTAAATGTCAAACCACAAATAATTGCTCTAGAATAATTTTTGGTTGTATCAATAGTTTTCACAATCATGTATTTTTGGCCTCTGTCAAATCTAAGTTTTTCAGATAGAGAAATGAAAAAGAGTAGACCACCCATACTCAGCCAATCAGAACAGCTGAACAGCAGCAGCTGTAAATACACCAGATTGTAACTTTGTAGCTAATTCCCATCTGTAGTCCCACAATCCCAAACTCACACTCATTCATAGAGGCAACCGGTGCACACAGAGGAAACCTATGAAGACAAGGAGAACAAGCAAATTCCACATAGAAAGGCCCTGTGTGGAGGTGGACATTTGACTTGTGACGAAGAAAGTGTTAACCACTGTGCCACCATGCTACTAGAAAAAAAAACATATCTGAAACAACTTTAAGAACAATATATTAACTTTGTTTTTTACATATTCTGTGGTTTTGAATTGAAGAGATGCACAAATGTTGAACATAATAATCAGGGAGAACATCCACAATCCAGAAAGCCATGTTTTATCATCGGCCAACAATGATCTCTTTGTGAGGAAATAATGCCACCACATGTTGCCTTCATACGAAAAAGAACCACAAAAACAACAGTAGTCCCATCATTCTAGTTGAGAATTGGCTTTAGCATCAGTTGCAACTTTTATGCAACGTCAAACAAGTAAAACTATTACCACATAGATTAATGTAATTTTAAATATCAGAAAGTGTTGGGAGTAAGTTATAAGATTATTAATGTATTTTTCTTAGCTGAAAGGAGAACATGACCAGAGAGCGAGGTGCTTTACTTCAAATAACACCTAACAACTTGCTTCATTGGGAAATCTAATCATAAAACAATTCCAATAATCTGAAATCCCATTAAAAAAGCAAGTCGTTTAAAAACAGATGGAGGCTGCAATATTTATAGTGTCAAGTCCCATTTTTACAATAACACACTTTGTTTTGGGTCCAGTATTCAACAGAGAGAGTCAGACTATTCAATGTTTTACTTCATTACAAAAAATAGGGGAAAGTGCTTTATTCCTTCAATCTAGTAACATGTCAAAATCACATGGTAGAATCCAAAAACTATCAATAGCGCTCACCTAACTTGAATAATCCGAGTGCGATGATCCAAAGGATACGCAGTAGAGTCCGGGGCTGGGGCTTCATGTTGTCGGCTGAGAGGCTTCCGTCCCGGGACCGTGTGTGATGGCGGTGGGCAGCGCCTCACACAGCTCGTCATTCACTGGGGACGCTGGCTGGACACTGGGTACATGTTGTTCCCTTACAGCACAGGAAAAACAGCACAGAAGTGGCTCTTTGTGCATGTGGACAGCTGGGCTAATGTCATCTTTGGCTTGTATGTGGGCCTGCTTCTATACAATGTGGGTTTTGCGGAGGAGAGTGGTGTAGTTGCCATCATGCAGGCGAGGAACTCTGGCAGTCACTGATGTGGTCTTGCTTGAGATGAGAGTTTTGACTTAAAGCTAGGGGTATCTGTGTTCAGTTTAATTAAAGTCACTTCAATTTGATTTATTCTTGTATATCCCTGAATCCCAACAGTAGTTATCTCACAAGACTTTGCATTTCGAATTCGCCAACATAGATCAGAGAATAAAACAATTCAAACACATAGAGTCATTGGTCCATAAATGTTGATTAAGTCCATAAATGACAGTTTTGTTTTGTAGAACAAATGTTTGTTTTAGAATAATACATTTGTTTGTGATACAATACAGGTCATGTTTACATGTTGTATATACTGTAAATTCACTTTTTGTCCTTATCTTTTTGCACAATATGACTTGACTGAATGTGTCTACCTTGTACTTATCTGTGCCATTGCCTGAAATAAAATAATAATGATAAAACATATTTGTACCAACATCTAAGTTTCTCTTCCCTAAAATGACATACTGTGACCGCACAGTGAGGTAATTGTAAATCCAGTTGGTAAAGATGGGATCAATTCTGATCTTCTTCAGTTTCTCCCTCAGTAAGATAAGGTGGACGGTGTTAAATGTACTGGAGAAGTCGAAGAACATCTGCCTCACATAGCCTCCTGGGTCATCCAGGAAGGACATGGATCAATGGAGCATGTAGATGACCGTGTCATCCACTCCCATGTTCTCCTGATAGGCAACCTGCAGGGGGTCAAGAGCCTGCTCAACCTGTGGCATGAGCAGTCGGAGTATAGCCTCTCAAAAGTCTTCATTATGACAGATGTTAGTGCCACTGGTCCTTGCATCCTGTCGGCTTTGCTACCTTGGGGACGGGTACCAGGCAGGAGGTTTTCCAGCGGGCAGGGACACATCCAGTCTGAAGACTCTTGTTTTAGGCCAGACAATCGTAGGTTCCAGCAGTGTTTGAAGCCTACAACTAAAGGAACAAATGTCTGTCTGCCAGGTTTACTAAACTATTGCTAAGCAAGCACTGAACTAGTTAGTTTTTTGCTTTGCAATAGTTTAAAAAGAACAAGAAGGTAAAACAATCAGGTAGATGATGCCAGAGCTCCTTCTGAAGATCTCTCCAATGGGCTGACAACATCGGAGACGTCGTTGTTGTCCACCGCGTTGGTGTAAAGCAGTGGTCCCCAAACTACGGCTCGCGGGCCGGACCCGGCCCGCCTCTACATTTGCTCCGGCCCCCTGAAAAATATCAGAGAGTATTTTTATATGTGCACTCAAAAAAATGATTTTCGGGTGTAGTAATATATACTAACTCAAAAGTAGTAGTTTTTACCTAACAATATCAACTTCCAGAGAGAACTAGTTAAAAACAGAAATATTTACACAGTATATTCAGGTAATTAATTAATTGAGTGGGAAGAGTACATCTTATTAGATATTTGCTCATACCATTTACATGATTTATTGTCATAGCACCAACACCTGAAAAAATCAAGTAGTGTTGATTGAAAACAAAATGTATTGGGTGAAGCAGTGATGCTACCCAGAATACATGGCAGAGAAAAATATAAACTTTAATTAATTTTTACAGTGAATATGAAGCAAGTCCTAAAGCAAAACATGTGAGCAACATTATGAATAAACTAATTTGACCAAATACATATTTTAAAAAAACATTTTTTACCAACCATAATTGACATGGCCAAGTCAAAGTAGGACTATACTTCCTGGGTCTTCTTATAAATTTTTCAAATATTAGACTTGAGGTCACTGAGTTTGCACACTGTACTAAGAGATTCTGCTCCGACAACCAAGCTGAACTTGGACTTGTAGAGATTGTGCATGACACAACAGAAAGTTTATGTTCCATGGACTTTTTTATGTGAAGAACCCAGAGAGGGTTATTTGTTTATTATTTATTTAATAAATAGTGTTGTTATTTTTTTCCTGACTTTTGTTCTGTGAAGAACCCAGAGAGCGTTATTTGATTGTGCTTTCTGGAAAACAATGTTTTTTTACGTTTTACGTTTTACTCTTGCAATCATCACACTTATTCTGTTACAAACTGACCCGGCCTCCATCGAAGGAGGGAAAAGTTATGTGTTTTTCAAGTTTATTCACTAGCTAAGTTTTCATTAAGATATTAAATGTATTGCTATAAATAAACAGTTTAATTATAAGAAAGTCAATCTTAGACCCAATGAGTCTTGTAAATACAATTACTAAGACATTTGTTTTTATTTTTTTAATACAAACGTTTCTTGTTGCACTTGATGACGGAGTTGCCCATGGTAGCATCCGCAGGCCGCAGAGGTCCACCAGCAGAGGGAGCCATTGTTCTAACATGACACGTGCATATCCGAAATAAAAGAATATTTAGAACCATCTCGTACATGTGAGATGAGCACGCGCACCTGCCTCCCGTTGCCACGTGCGCGTTGCTAGGGCTAGTGCATCTTTTGAATCACTTCATCCTGCAAAAGTTTTGGCTGAGACACAAACTCATTTTGTCAAACTTCACTCGACGTTTTCTTCAACCAGGAGTCATCACTGCAGACCATTTCCACACAGACTGCTGCTGGCCCACTCCTGGCCACAACTACCAGACTTTTCTGAGGAAAAAACGTGAGCTTTTCCAGTTTCCCTGTTAACCTTAGTGGTCAGTGTACTTGTGGGTATTTGGATTTTCTTCACTGAAATGAAAATAATAAATAGAAAAACAAGTCGTTTTTCTATTTTCGTTTGCAAATCAAAAAACCAAAAATGAAAAAACAGCCATTTTTCTTTTTATATCCAAGTGAATGAAATTTAATTTTTCAAAATAAAGCTGATTTTCATGTTTGCATTGTATACTGAATAAACAAAAACAAATTAAGACAACAACGAAAAACGACCCAATATTCGTTTTATGAAACCGGAAGTTGTCATATTCAAGCGCAAATATCATCAAAATATAAATCGTAGAAGATATTATAGTTGATCCATCTTATTTTTACAGTCTATGAGATCCATGCGTAGAAGGCATTTGTTTACGGTATTTGTTTTTATTATTTTTATAGATTTTATTTTTACATTGAATAAATAATACAGCAAGATACAAAATAAACAGTTTACACAAAAACACACTTTTTTCCCCACACAATAAAATAGTAAGGAGTACAGCTTCAATGAGTACTGCCTGTGCAGCAACACGTGTCGGGGCGGGCACCAGAGACGCCTTTACACTGTATAACCTCTCAAGAGCCTCCAAAAAAACGCCTTGGCCCCCTAATTTGACACCCCCACCCAGTGGTGTAGTAGTTCATGTGATACGGTATTGTTTGCAAACTGCAATTGATAAATTAATTAAAAACAAAGTCGTTGATATGCTGTGTTGTTTTTGTTGTTTAGTAGCAGTAATATGCAGGTATCAGCTGTGTCCACTGTATTTTCTGTTGATTTCCATGAGACCCCCCTTGAAATGACCTGGACCCCCCATTGCCCCCGAATCAAAATTGTCTGGAGCCACAGCCACTGTGCCCAGGACGTGCCGTGCGCATGTGCCCCAAAACCGCTCAGAAAAAGGCCGTGCGTAAAAGTTACCAGGCGCGCAGCAGAGCGCATGGAGCTCCGAGTCAAAGGGTGCTTTTGAATGGGTGGGTGCTGAGCTAAAGATGTTGATCACTGGTTAACAGTATTGATGGTTTATTTTTAGTCAAGAGACTTATCTACTGAAGTTAGGATGAGAGACAGTAGTTGTGGATAAAATAATGAGATACCATTGAGATCTATCCTAAGCATCATTTTTCGTGCCTTCTCCTGCCCAGTTTGTAATTAGACCATTGCTAATTTGAGATGGAAGTTTGTTGGTCCCCTTGATTAGCCGCAGAAAATTATGAGCCGTTGGGATAAATTTACGCACCCCCATAACACCTACGCATCACAGCGAAGGGATTGCCAATCTTGGTATAAGAACGTATTACCGTTACCCCAGACACACTAGCTAACCTACACCATGGCGTTTGCCTGCCATAATCCAAAGGAATTCCCTAAATGTGCCAAACGGCATACTTGGATCCGTAGGACGCATACCACAGCTGCTTGCGCTCACATTGCCACTTTTGGAGATTTAGCTATATGCGTGAGTATGGTTTGAAAGATTATGTTTGGACAAGGACATGTATAAAAACTTTATTTAAACATCAATAATAGTTATGAACAAAAGCAGTTTGAAGCAAGTTTTTACAACGGTCACACAAAGCTTGGTGTTGATGATCTGCACGTCTCCTGAACTAGTTAACGTTTAATAACCCCAAAAGTCAGCAACTGCATAAAATTTAACTTTCTCAGACTATATAGTAGGTAGGAGCGTATGAAATTCGCCTATTCATTTCCAACTAAGAATACTTGAGTATAGTAGCCTACTTATTATTAAAAACAAAAAATAAACTTTACCAGTGTTCATTTTGACATGTTTAATTCAAATTGAGTCTTTTAAAACTGACAGTGTTTTGAGTCACTTCTTTTAATTGGTTATGTAACAATTTTTAATTAGTTCACTGAAAAATCACTGATATAATCGTAAACAAAAGTATATTTCCATCATATTTTTAAATTTAAAATGGCATTCCTCCGTGATTTGCAAATTGCGTTGTGTAATACTGTGATAAAATTGCTAATGTGATCAATTGTATAGCACTAGTTTTAGTCTGATTAATTACTTATAATGGAGTTTTTGTGTAGTTTTAGTATGCAAAACATTTGAATAAGTCTACGAGGAAATAAACACTGTTGAAAAAAAGTGCGGTAAGAGCATAACAATCCACATGTGTTGTTGTCGTCATGTACCATGTGGTAGTGTCAGACGCGAGATTTTAGACACGTGCTGACGTTATTGTGTGATGTCATGAAACTTCAGTCATGTTTAGAAAATCCAACTCAAGAGCGCGCTCTGCAGAAAAACAGGAAGAGAGTGAAGGGGGGTAAACGCATCCCATTGGTTTTCGGTAGGGATGAACGAATCAAACGACATTGGTTAATTTTTTAATCGGGACCGCTCTAAAAAATATTTATTAATTAATTAATTTTTGGAGCCAACAGGCATCGGTCAATTCTTTACAATTTGAAAACAATGATACCTTGACTAATTATAGTGGGTTTAGGCCGTTTTGCAAAAAAAACACTGACTGCATCTTAATTCTAATCTACAATCACAAAATTCTTCTTGTCAGAAAATGTCCAATTGCGTCCAAATATGGATTACTAGTAATCATACCATTTCTCCCAATATACAAAACCTATACATGATGTTGACAAGTAGACAAGACTTTCAGAAAAATAATGGCAACTCTAGATCAATCATATAAAGGTCTAATCACTATCAAAATGAATCTGGGAAAACACTTGGACTGTTGCAGCATGTCGTTCAAAAATTGCTTCCTTTCCCCTTCGGAATTGTATTGCCACCTATCCTCCAACTATTACTGCATTTAGAACAATTATTTTATATACATGGATGGCTTTACGATTCCTTGAGAAGGTTGTGCATACTTGTTATTATGTTATTATGGTTTGAAGGAGGAATAGCAAATCAGTGGATATCTTGTCATTTCTCCCTGTCACTTTGATTCATTGTCCAGAGATTGATGAATTGGACAAATGTGGTTTTTCCTTACCGATGCAGGAGGGTTGAACGACAGTGATACCCGTAAATATTTAACAAGTGAACCCGCACATTTAACAAGTACTGGTGTAAAAGTACTATGGTATCGGATTTTTTGTCCTGTGCTTGCATGTCTCGTCCTTTGCATGTTGAAATTGAAACGTTATTGTAATTTTTGTCATGGCTTCTTCTTTTAATACTACCTTTTGGGTGTGATTTATATATGTGTGATCTACTTGTGTGTAGCAGTAATTTCCCGTGTGAACAAATAACAGGTTGTTTTCTTAGAGTTTTCCTTGCCTAAGCAGGAGGGATCGTTATGGAGGCAGTTAGTGTCCATACTGAAAGGACAGTGGTGATGATCCAGGACACTTTAGACATCTACAACATGTTTGGACAGTTTCAACATGTGTTCCCTATATTCTTTATGTGTTTTAACTGTGATTCTCTGATCTGGTGTCGGTGATTTCAAAGGTTTTTGGGTATAAGTCCTCTGAGATGACCATTTTGGTTTGTGATTTAGGGCTATACAATGGATAATTGTATGTGTATTGTATTGTACTGGTTAGCGGTAATATCCGATATCCTTGTCTTGAAAAGTTATGTTTAATATTTTCTCAGGAATGTCCCTTGGTTGGCAAAAAAGAAAAAAAACAGGACCACTCCTGAAAATGATGTTGTGCAACAAGAGTCCTATTACCTTACCTTTTCTTCTCTGGTGTCGAGTTGCCGATGTTGGCAATGAATGGGAAATCCAGCATTTTGCCAAATCGTACTGAGCTAAACGGCAACACATCACAGTCTACAACTTTTGTCAAAATAAGTCCATAAACCTTTTTTCGATACAACTGAATGCCACTCTCAATTTCTTCTGTGTGAGGGGAATCCAATTAGAAGGAGTTCCAGTGTTTGTTTACAATGGGACTAGAGAATTAGTCCTTTCACTCGGACACAGTGGGGATTGAGATCACTGCTGCACCACAGTGCCCTCGGGCAAGACTGAGACAGAAGCAAGGTCAACCAACACCTAATCAACCACAACACACACACACACACACACACACACACACACACACACACACACACACACACACACACACACACACACACACTCCACACACACACACACACACACACACACCCACCACACACACACTACACACACCACACACACACGACACACACACACACACACACACACACACCACACACACACACACACACACACACACACACACCCACACACACACACATTACCATACCGGTAACTAACCAGCCTCTGGCCCTGAATGGGATATTTTTTTATGACAAATGTGTATATTTACAGCATCATATGCAAATACAATCCTTTTAAAACATAAGGCAAGGTGATTTTCTTGAGATTTTTTGGATATCTTATAACAAAAAATTACAGGCATCGATCATCTTTTAAAGTGGATGACTCGCACCACTTGTGGCTAACTAAATACTTTATCTTTGGCCCCACTGGTATTTGCCTCTAAACCGACTGACGCACATCTTAATATTAGTATTGTATTGTATCTACCTGAAATGCTGCTGTCAGACTGCAAATCGGATCTGTCATTCTTTGTGGAAACACTGTTGGCATCAGCTTTGAATAATTCAAAAGGAGACAGCTCCGACAAAGTTGGATTGGTTAAGCAAACCGTCTGCTTCACTCGGCTCGATATTGAACGTCAAACGAAAGGAAATAACACTTAACCTAGAAACCATATCAATGGTTTTTTTGGAATAAATTCTTGATATTGGGGTCTGCGAATCACAAGTACTTTCCCATTTTTTTATTTTCCATTAAAACCTTGCAGTACAAAATCACTTTCCCCATTGGGTTCCTTGGTGACATTTCATTCAGACTGAACACTGACCTTTAGTTTATTTTACTCTCTTGTGATATGGTATGTTTTTTTGGGTTGTCAAATAAGCAAGCACTTCATTTAATCCAATGCAGAATAGTAGGGAGAATGGTGTGGAATGTTAGAAACAAGATAAGATAAATTAAGAAAGGATTGGTGATGATCAGGACACTTTAGCATTCTACAACATGTATGGGACATTTTCTTCTTGTGTGCTTTATATTCATCATGTGGTTTAACTGTTGAATATCCGTCTGACCTGTGTTGGTGATTTCAATGGGTTTTTTTGTATAAGTCCCTCTGAGATGACTTCTGTTGTCGACCTAGGGCAATACAAGAATAAATTTGTATTGTAATGTATTTATAAGATATTCTTAGTTATCCCAAGGAGGAGAAATGTACATGTCACATATGGATGGATAGAAACACTCAGATTGTGGCAAAACAAGGGAGGAACTGTGCAAACATGTTAAATGCAGGAGATATAAGATATTTCTGCTGAAAACAAAAGTTGTAGTAGTTAGATATGGCAGTTATTGATGATACCTGAGAATTTGGTGACCACGCCCCTTTTTGAAAAAAAGTTATTCAAAAATCATATTCATATTTAATCATAAAAAAAATATAAAAAAGATATTTCTTCCTGAAAACAAAAGTTGTAGTAGTTAGATATGGCAGTTATTGATCATACCTGAGAATTTGGTGACCACGCCCCTCTTTGAAAAAAAGTTATTCAAAAATCATATTCATATTAAATCCTATTTATTCATAAAAAATACAAAAAAGAAACAAATGCTGAAAACAAAGGTTGTAGTAGTTAGATATGGTAGCTATTTATAGTATTTGAGAGTTTAGTGCGTGTACTTGGCTTAAAATAAAAACTATTGTTCGTTTACACAGCTGGTATTGGCATTTGTTGACGCTCCCTAAGTGCTTTTCTCGGCACTTGCGGCGCATTGGATTCAATGGATTTCTCTGCATTAAAACAGCGCATTGGATTTGAAAAATCGATGTTGTAGTAGTTAGCCTAAGTAGAGGTGATCATTTTGGCACAATTACTTTCGTTTAACAACGTAGCTTTCGTAAGATATTCACCGCGGAAGTCCGAATCTGTGAATATCAAGCTAACTTTACCGAACTACTAGAAACCACCACGATAGGTCGGGTGCATAGTGTCATTATTCAGTCATGAGAGTTTAGACTTATGGTTTAGACAGCATGAGCAGCTCTGCAGGTGACACTGCAGGCATAAGCATACGTCAGCATTAGCCCCACATCCCCGCTAACACTCACCTCCAGGTCCACCCACACCATCCTCTGAGACATGGCCGCAGAAGATGAATTTTCCGTGGACATGTTTGCGATGTTACAGAAAGACCCTGCGGGGGTCAAAGCCGAGATGGCTCTTGCTTTCTCCGGTTGTGACAGGGGCTTGATGGTGGGGCTCCTGCAGCGGTAGAAGCAGCAGGTGTTACGTGAAGTGAGCAGCGGTAACCTCCGGTGGAATAATGTGAGTGCAGCCCATGCTCGGGTCCGAGAGCACAGCATCGGCATGCTCAGGCCGGCTTCCGACTGCCAGTGTCGTAAATAAATGTGGTTATAGCCGTAAGTCGTAGTTGAGGGTGTCGTAAAAATAAAATGAAACTATTGGTGACGCTGCAGTTCTGCTGTTTGTCCACAAGATGCCGCTATTGTCAATGGTTTAGCAGTAGCGTAATTTTAATGAATGTTTACGAAAATATTAATACATATATACACCTGGCCTGTTTATTATTACCGTATTGATTTATTGTAAGAAGAGTTTGCAGGTAAATTAACACAAACAACCCCAACAATATCTTTAAAACAATTACTTGTTTGTGATAAGTTTGGGAGCTGACAGTTTTACAGATTCTTAATGTATTTAACGTTCAAACCCATTTTCTTAGACAGCAGGACCCTTTTGACATAATCAAGGCTCTCCCCCCCTTTTTTAAATGATGGGAAGTTGGTGAAAATGTGCATTTTTATGGGTGGGATAATGAAGGTTCAATGTTATTTTTTGTTCAACTATGGATGATATGGCTCTGTAGTCTGACAGAGGGCTGATCAGGAATTCTGACCTAAAGCATTGATATGAAGTCCAAGACACACAAGTTTTAAGAGAGACAGAACTTTATTGTCATGTGTCTCTTCCTTGATTATGGAATGGGGGTGGGGAGTGAGGGGTGGGAGCCCTGGGAGGGCAGGTAAGGAAGGGAGTTCAGCGTCCTGATCGCCTGGTGGAGAAAATGGTTCTTCAGTCGACTGGACCTGTCCCGTGGATTTCCCAGTCTCCTCCCTGAAAGCCTTATTTTGAGAGGCTGTTGTGGGTGCGTAGGGTCTCAGGTAATTCTGACGGCTTTGGGAGTGAGACAGGTGGAGAGTCCTAGTGTAGGGGCTTCACAGATCTTCTCTGTTTCACTCACATTACACTGGAGGCTCCTGCAGCAGGTGGCAGAGCTGGCACAGTGCTACACAGTTGCACATAATGGTGCTTTCAGACCGGATCATGCGTTGCGTCGGCTTTCAATGCAAAGTCAATGGTGACACGCGTTTGAGCGTCAAAACGCACAAACGTTTCGGGACGCACAAACGGACTGTTCAGTAGAGACACACGGACTGCGCAGGAAAGTCGAAGCGGAAAATGGACGCCCACAGGAGATAAACTTTGCTCAACCTTTCCTCGGGACGTTCGTGCAGCGATCAATCAGAGAGCTGCAAAGTGGTCACAAGGACATTAGCGGACTGAGTGAGCAGACTGAACATACTGTAAACAGCCAAAACCTACACCACGACTTAAAACCAGGGTTGACAATGGGGGGACTGTGTGCTTGTGAAAATATGCGTTGTCATGCTCCCGTGACTTTATGCAACTGCTTTGAGTGTGTTCGCCGATGCGGAAGAAATGTTTAATAATAAAATAAACTTATTGCGCACCTCTGTGAACACATACTACTGTTATATAAAGTCTGTGGAAGGTCTCTGAAAACAGACACCCTCCAAAGCTGCATTATTGGAGAAGATCTTTACACGAGACACCGCTAGCATCACTTTGTTAGCATCAGAGCCGGCCGGCTACTTCCGCAACTTCCGGTGCTTGCCAGGACGTTCTGGTGTGAAGACCCCTGCGTCTGAAAACTAGAGAATGCGCGTCTGGTGAGCGAGGCTTCAGCGTTTGAGCGTTTGTGGTCTGAATGCACCATAAGAGAGGCTGGGACTCTGGTGCTAGCGGGGAAGGCCGTGATGCCGATTCTTGACCAGTGATGTAGTGTGCATGGTCCAGGAGAAGTCCTGTGTGATGTGCACATCAGGATCTTAGTGCTGGTCACCCTCTCCACAGCTGTTGAATGTTAGAGGAGCATGGTGGACCTGCGCTCTTTGAAAGTCCACATCAATGTCTTTTTTCTTCTCCACATTTAGAGAGAGATTGTTCTGCGTGCACCACATGGACAGACTGTTCTCCTCACTCCTTCAGTGCTGAGGAATCCCCCCCCGGCTATGGCATCAGCAATACTGATGCAGAGGTTTGAGTGCTACTTTGGAGTAATGCGTCAGCAGAGTGAACAGGAGTGGGCTCAGCACACAGCCTTGGGGCATCCCTTTGCTCAGTCTGATGGTTCTGGAGGACTTTCCGTACAGCCTGTGGTCTCAGAAAGGGGATTCTAGTCTTCAAAGAGCATTCTAACATAGGAGTCTTTAGTTTCAAGGTGAATGAGGGTTGTATGAAGCACAGGGGAGATGGCATCTCCAGTTCAGCAATTGCAGGCACTGGTCAAACTGGTCTGGGTCCAGGTTTGGTGGGAGAACAGACTTGATATGATCCATTCGAGCCGCTTGAAGCACATCATAAGAAGTGGAGTGAGTGTGGACTTCTTTGGTGCTGGAATGATGGCGGTGTCTTTGAGGTGCATTGGGACCACAGCTGCAGAGATGAGTTGAACATTTCAATGTGAAGACTTAACCCTTTAAGCGCCAAAGTCGCAATATTGCGACAAGCAACATTGCTCACTTAAACAGGCTGTATCTAAAAATGTGGTGCAGAATCTTGTCAATACTTTTCACCAGGGGTAAGTGGACATGTGTGCCTGTAATATGAGCAGCATTTGTGGGTGTGGTTATATTGAAAGTTTTTGAGTAAATTGAGTTCGTAAAACACCTGCAGCGCTGCAGCGCGGAGGCGAAGCAGCAGCGGTAGAGCTGAGAGGAGCGAGAGCAGAGCAGAGGGAGAGAGGGTTTTTTATTTACTCACGAGGTCTTCAGTACCAGAGAAGTACTTGGTCTGGTACTGGCTCACTCAGATTCAGAGGAGGAAGACACGCAGGTGTCCAGTGAAGCAGACACAGACATTGTTGGTGACGGGGAGACCGCGCCATATAGACCACAAGCAGCCCCTGTACAGCGGCTGCTTGTCCTCCGTGTGGCCGCGGTAGAAGCATTCTGTGAACGCCAAGCAGGGGCCGTGGTCGAGGGGACAGGGGGATAATAACACCGGGCATGTGGAAGAAAGTAGCGGGGGTAGACATCCACGGGGAACACGGGAGACGCGGGAGAAGTCGCGGGAGAGCCGCGGTAAAAAAAAACACATCGCTAATCGCGTTCACTGCCTTTACCAACAGCGATGATGAGGATGAAGGCAGTTCTTGAGAGAAAATAATCCACAAAAGTGGATCAGAAGTGTTGAAGAGCCTGTTGTATGTTGTTGAGACGATCTGACATGTTCTGAGCCCATTCATTTCATTTCTCTGTTTCTAAACGGTAAATCCTGGAGCCTCATTTCCACTGAGAAAAAAGTAAGCCCACCACTTCTTTGAAAGGGAAATATTGAAACCAAACTCCAGATTTCATGACTGTAAACCATAAAGAGTGCTGTCTTGATCACTGAAGGTCTTTGAAAATAATACAATTCCATATGGCCGCGAACCAGTGTTAAAACATTATCTATAATCTGGATCAGGGAATTTATTTCTATCCCAAATTCATTTCATACTATAGATATTTCCCTGATCTCAAAACACTCCCAAACTACAGCTTTTTGAAGTCTTTATACAATAATTAACATTTTCCAAAATGGCCGCCACCTTGATGACGTCACAATATGCAAATTAGATGACGAATGAACTTCCATCCCAACGTTTGGTTCAAACTGAAGATATTTCTAATTTACAGTATGCCTTTATCTCAAACCATTTTAAAGTTATAGCCTTTTGAAATCTTGAAATCAAAATTGTATATTTTCTTGAAAAAACTCTGGCGCCTAAAGGGTTAAGAGAGTTCATCAGCACAGCCTTTCAGTGCACACCTTGTATTTAGTCTGCATCTGGCCATTTGCGTCTGTTGATCCTACTCAGAGATCTTCCTTCACTTTCTGATGACAGCTTCAGCATCTGGTCTTCTGGAGGGGGGTTGATCTTATACCAGGGTTTTGTTGAGTGCCTCTGTTGAGAGCAAAAAGTTCACTCCGTGCATCCATAAGCATTTGGCACAACTTTATTAGTTGTATAAACATTTTTGTTCCACATCAGATACCTGCTCTCTGGTAAAGGCTACTTCTATCCTTTATCGTTGGCTGGCGTGTCTCCCTCTGTGAGTGCGAGAGCTAGGTCCTGCACAGACGTACATTCACCCACTCCTTAAACTGAATATCAAACTAGAAGTTGTTGTCAGTCGTAAACACAGTTTTTGTAGTAAATAGTGCTATATCTTCCTAAAGCTCCCCTATTTTACAATTCCATTCCAAATTTGATCAAAAATGTGATCTAACCTTTTGAAATCTTTTGCATAGCATTTTTCACATCTAATTGATCTTTGCCACATTTGAGGCTTTAAACTGTTTAGTTCACATCAATTCAAGCTACAAAGAGATCACACAGGTTACACATCCTTTCTGCACAACACTAGAGATTGTTTGGCACTAAAGATTACCTGACTTTCACATGTATTTGAACGTGAGGAGAGGAAGGAGTCTGTTCCTCCCCCAAAGTGGACTCAGCACCAGCTTGATTAACTATTACAGTAAATCCATCTATCAAAGGATGGTAAATATTTGGAAAAGGGATAAATACATTGCATGTTCTTAATAAAAACATTACCTCATAATTCAAATCATGGGCTTTTGTATGACAGAGAGACATGGTTCCAGTTTCTCCAGGTGATCATGTTCAGGGCATGCAGGACCAACTGCAGGTAAGGGACAAATGGGAACTGCTGAAGAACACTGGTAAAATAAAATTAATATTATGCATTATTTTTGGCCATTAATCGTGTTTTATGAATTGTATAAACCAATTAACAATGGGATGAGTTCACGAATAATTGTTCTACCTCACTCATCACATTTATTCATTCGTTAATTTTCATCCCCTTAATCAATGCATTTCCGTCAATCCCCAATCAGCACCAATCACACAGCTCCATGTCTTACTGCTACAATGACATCATACTATTACAGGACTGAGACAGGAGCTTTCAGACTGAAGGGGTGGTTTCACATGTTTGAAAGCGTGGATGGATCTAAAAACAACTCCAGGACTGGT